TTGCATGGGGCCCCTGATCGCCTGGGGCCCCTAGTCGCCAAGGGGGCCCCTGGTAGTGGGGGCTTTGTCGCATGGGGCCCCGGTTGCCTGGGACCCCTGGTCACCTGGGCGGCCTGGGGGCTCCTGGTCACCTGGGCGGCCTGGGGGCCCCCGGGTGACCTAAGGGCCCCTTCGGAAGCAGGTGGCCCCCTCCTGGGCGAAATTCTGGGTACGTGCCTGGATTTAAGTAATCTTGCAAGTTGCAAGTAAGTACCTACCTACTAAATCGTGACCGTTTATGACATGGCTCGTCCGGCCCACCCAAGGCCATATAACCGGCCCACACACCGCCTCCTTGCAGCTTCCATCAGCGTCCATAAAGAGCTATAGCATTCGGTTGTTCTATATACCCTGGAGCATTCGGGCCGTCACGAGACGCAGCGGCCAGGGAATCGTACCCCCGCCGTCCGAAGGGGGCGGTTGTCGCCCCTTATTATTTCTTTGTGCTTTTCTTCAGAGAGTCAGAACAGGCTAGCAGAGTAACCGCTAAAACCTTGCAGACCTAGCATCCGAATCAAACTGGATCTAGTGACCTCAGCCGCATTTTTAGGTCAGGTCAGGTCACTGGCCAATTGCGTCATAAGTGAACCTCTACAGTTCTACACGGTCCTAAAATTTCGCCCTCTCAAGATCTCATAACTTGAGTATCTTCGATTTTTCCTAAGGGTCACCTGATGTCAGGTAGGTCACGTGACCTCACCTCGGTGACCCTGCCCTCGCCATAAGAAATCAATGGGGTATTTATGGAAACCGCTAGTTTGACGTCGGAAATGATCTAAAACCACCTTTAGCACACGGAATCGTGATTTCATTCGCTCCTTTCAACAAGGTTCGATGTTAAGCTTTTACGATCGTTGACCTTGTGTTACTGTATATTTAGGACGTAACTAATGTCATAGGAGTGCTTGTCGATAGCTCCCGAGAACTGAGCTAGCGTCTAGCGAGTCGGAAAGGCCGTCAGTGGTCTCGGGAAGACCTGCTGAATCAAATAACGTGCAACATGCCCTCATTCGACCAACTACTAACTAGCAGTAGCTTCGTGACCTGAGTGGCTTTGACCTAACTTTGATCTGAGTTCAACAGTCAACATCCTAAAGTTGACCTCACCCGAAAAGTATGCCATTCGCTGCGCCTGAGCATGAGAAACACGATGATGCCAGAATCGCCGCTCTGCGACATTTTTGACGAAGCTATTTACTGAAACCGAACCCGTACCTTGAGACACTTGACCTGACCTCAGGGGTCACCGGTTGGCCTGAGGCTTAAAATCGGGTACCACTCGCTGGGGCTGGTAGCAGTTCATTCGCCCGTTTTTACGAATCTCAAGATCAGTTAGGGGTAAAACGGCGAGGGGCTCCTTAGCCTCCTACCTCCCCCCCCCCTCGGTCGGATCGTAGGGGAAAGTTGGGTAATAAACATTCGACATGTTTTAACCCTCGCACGACCAGGCCATTTCTCATAACACGAACGACCAGGGGGGGGGGGGGTTGTTACGACCCCCCCTGGCGTTTCGAAACGGAAGGTCGTAGAGCTTAGCGGAAAAAACCAACGGATTGCTCTCAACGAGATCTCGCGATTGGTGGTATATTTTTTGGTCCTAGGTCAACATTTGACCTACTTATGACCGGTCAAAGGTCAAATTTTCCGAAAAAATCAAACTTTTTCAACTTTGCGCAACGATTGCGGCAAAACGGTGAGAGATATTAACTTCAAACCTTCAACAACGTATTCCCCACTCAATTCTGCATCATATATGGTGTTTTTGGTGTATTTACCCTATAAAAGTAAGAGGCCTATTGCTGATGAGTGATATGGTGTCACATCACCCTCCGGTGTTTGTCCCGATTCGTCGGCTGTTGACCACTGCTCCGCTATAAATACTGTAGGTAACGACTCAGAAAAGATATGTGGATATCCACTGCAATGTGGATAGCATCAGCAGAAAACCTCGGGACTCGGTACACACTTCGTGAAAATCCGGCCGGAGGCTGTACCTCTTATGACGTCATAACTCCGTGACCTGACCTGACCCGGTCAATTTTCTTGCACCACACGATAGCCAATGCTTGCCCCAACATGCATGGGAAGTTTCATCATGATCCATCAAACAATGTGGGTATCACCGGCAGAAAACCTAGGGATTCGGCGCACACGTTTGGTAACTGTCGGCCGGAGGCTGTACCTCTTATGACGTCATAACTCCGTGACCTGACATGACCCGATCAATTTTTTTTCGGCAAAAGATGCGCAAAGGTTGCCCCAGAGGGTATTGAAAATTTCAGCCCGCTACGACAAGCCGTTTAGCGTGCACTTCGAAAAAACCTCAGGGGGGGTTGATACAACCCCCCCCCCCCCCCTAGGCGTTCTAGGGTTAAAAGGTAGATCGCTGGAAGTGGACAAGTTTTCTGTTGTTGACCGATAAGAAGTGAAAGTCATTGTGACCTAGGTAGGTTAGGTAGGTACCCTTTAAAGGAAAAGGGCCACCTTTAACATGGGGATTGAAACTGAGATAGCCATCTTGTAGCCCGTGTCCGAAAACCTGTATGTCTACCTCCTTACGGCCGATTTCGGCCTCCATTCGTAGTTATCGGCAATTTTAAAAGAAAATACGCCAGGAATGCGTCCTTATCCCAGGAATGCGTTCTTATCCGACAATACAGCCACCCGCGGCGAGGCTTTGGTTTTTTACCAATCAGCTCCAACCAGCTCAGCTTTAACCAATCAGCTTATCTGACACAATCCGACGAGTCTGTCTTCTGAACGCTGATTGGCTTGAGTGTGACGTCATCGCTATGCCATCTAGAGAGTATCAACATAGTACCAATATGTTAAATAGTTTTAAATACTTTTTCGCGAATTGTGCACTTCTGGCACCAGTTTTAAAAAGAAAATGAAAAATAATAATGTCAAAATGAAAAACAACGATATCTTCATATTTCACGAAGGTGGCCCTTTTCCTTTAAAGGGACCCTCCCACCTTCAAAAAAGCTAATGAATTGGCATGAAAGTGATGTCCCTTGGTTCAGAAAGAGCGAAAACGAATATCTACCAAATTTCACCGAAAAATATTCACTGGTTTTCAAGATATTAGGCTTTTACTTTTGTTTACTTTTTGGGATCTCCCCTGTTACTAGCGACTTTATTTGGAAGCAATAATTTGGCAGCCTTAAAGTGCGGCAGACGTTGCGCGCAAAGCAGCGTATACCACCACGTGTTAACGATGGTTTTAGTCCAAGATTTAAAAATCGTTAGATCTCCGCTGACGTCACAAATTCTAAGGGGGCATTCCAATGCATTAGCCCCTTAGAATCCGAAAACTGCGAGTTTGAAATTCCATATCTTCGAATTAAAGCATTTTTCGATGTTGTGAGTGCCCAAACCGGTATTTGCAGGCCATGGCCACCAATTTGGCTATCTCAACTCAAAACTAATGTTAAGGTGGGAGTGTCCCTTTAACTACGTTTTAGCACCGTTGAGCTCCGATAAACCGAGGTCTTTGTAGTTTGAACTTCAAAGCCGGTACATTTTTTTACACTTAAGGCCTGGCTACACTATGCGTTTTCTGCGTGCGTTTTTTGCGTGTTTGCGGGTTTTGCGTAATATCGTTCTAGAAAAAGGGTTATTATTAAATACCTAAACTTCTTTAATATTGATATAAAAAATGGATAAAACGTTTATGTTAATTAAAAGTTTATATGAAAAACATATGACAAAAACGTAATTTCGTTTCTAGAACGATATTCTGCAAATCACGCAAACTCGCAAAAAACGCACGCAGAAAACGCATAGTGTAGCCAGGCCTTTAGCCTGCTTGTAGGTTTATGGTCGGCGGGGCTACTTTTGAATTTTCCTATGTACAGCCCTCAGCAGACTGCGTGGTAGGTATTCTTTTTCCGACAAAACTGATAATAATTCAAAAGTCATGCTATCAGTCGGTCGAAACTCACTGCAAATAGATGCGGCATGCTCCACTCCTTCGATAGGGCCTATCAATAAGCAAAGCATACGCCTTGTGTGGCAACAAAATGTAAAAGTTCGTTTTGGGGCAAATATAAACTTTTGGGTTTTGTTGCCAAACTGGATGGAAAATGCATACGATGATAATGCCAATCTAAGCTGCGGAGTCTCGCGCATCTTGCTGTTACGATTTCCGAGTGCCCGATAGCATATAGTATTCGCGTTATTCTCGGTTTTGTCGAAAAAAAGAATACCTACCACGCAGTCTGCAGAGGGCTGTATAGTGTTGAATCTTTTGAGCTGGTACTATCAATTTTACGGAAGGCTTAACAAAAGTGGTATTTCAACGCTTGCGTTTTTAATACGCATTATCTGCCCGGAGGTAACTAAGAACCTTCTAAATGTATTTGATGCGCGCGACTAACAGTGGCGCGCAGCAAAGCCTTTCTCTGCACGCGGGCGCAAACTGTAGCCTGTAGCGACACCTACCGCACGGCGTGAGCACCACCGGCCCTCAGGCCTCAGTGAGCGCCCGCAGTGCCACGTGACAATATGTGTTCTGTGTGCTTTCGGAATTCCTTTGCGTCTGGTGCGCACCAACAGTGCGGTGCGCCGCTTTTCAATTACAGGCGAGTCCTTCCCGTGTCGGGAATATATCTAGTGCCTATTCTTACGGCCCGGTGCGGCCGTCTCGTTGTACTGCTTCCCCGTCTCCGGCGGCGCGTCAGTGCGGCCGGTTGGTGACCCCGGCCCTGCACGCCTGACTCCGCTCTCTAACGGCACAGCCGCTGACAGTAGTTTTGTCGCGGTTTTTCTATCTTCCCGTGGCACTGTGCGACCTATAGTTCGTTCGATGCTGGTCACAGGGCCCAAAGCGGGTCAATGTCATAAATCGTCATCTGAATATTCGGAAATGGGCATTGTCATCTGCTGGTTTGTTTACATGATGCATGTGTTATCGAATGGCGGTTAAAAAAGGCAGAATCAGGTAGCGTGACAAGAACAACGTGTAAAGTTACATTGTTTAGTATCGAAGTTCATCAGCTTTTAGTGTTTTGCTGGGAAGCACTGATTCTTGCCGTTGCCCATGCAGATATTTGGGCACTGGGACTGGATTTTCCTTACAATTTTGCCTCTCACGCAGGTCGCCCGCTCGCACAAGGTCTCCCTCCACGTCTGACCGTCGTTGTAGTATTTGCCTCGAATCTTCGAGTAGCACCGGAGGCGCAGTTTGCAGACAACTCTGGGGCAGCATCCGGGATATGACGCTCCAGGTCGCCCCTCAACTACTGTGCAGCCAGGAGCGGGGCGGATCAGGGGACAGGCCTTTCGAATAATGTCACCCTTGGAACATTGGGCCTCTGTGCACTTCGGCTCGGTCCACTTTGCGCCATCATCGAAAATCTTCTTCAGAGCTTTGGAGAAACACTGATCTTCCTTGGCGCAGGTGATTTTAGGGCAGCATTTCGGGTACTTGGCTCCAGGCTTTCCTTCCACTCGGACGCATTTATCACCGGCTTGCAAAGGACACCCCAGAGCGACAACGTTGCCTTTCTCGCATTTGGCGCGGGTGCACGGAGGCTCGGTCCAAACGTCACCGTCGTTGAAGAATTTCTTCAGGGCCTTGGAGTAGCACCTGCAGACAGTGGAGGGACAGCACTTGGGGTACGGGGCGCCGGGCTTGCCCTTCACCAGCCGGCAGAAGGGGCCGACGGCCGGCCGGCCGCAGGGCACACCGACCACCTTACCATCCTCGCACCTGTTCCGCTGGCAGGGCGGCTCGGTCCACTCCGCGCCGCTGTCGAAGAACTTGTCCAGTCCTTTGGAGTAGCACTGACCCGGCTTGGGACACTTGAACGACAGGCAGCAGCCGGGGTAAGGGGCGTTCGGATCACCCTTTACGAGCACACAGCCCGGTCCGGGCTTGATCAGGGGGCAGGGAAGCCGTCCGATTTCTCCATCATTACAGACGCCCTGGATGCATCCGGGCTCCGTCCACTTATCCCCGTTCTTAAACAGCCTCTTCAAAACGTCAGAAAAACAGGGCTTGGGGCATTCAACCTTGGGGCAGCAGGCCGGAAACGGCGCGTTGCTGTCACCTTTAACTATCTTACATCCGGGCTTGTTGGCAATCAAACCGCAGGGCAGCCGTGAGATGCGACCGTTCAGGCACCTCGCCCGGATACAGGATGGTTCCGTCCACGTGGCGCCGTTGCTGAACTTCTTACCGAGAGTTTTGGAGAAGCATGCTCCCTGCTTTTTGAAGGCGGCGGTCACAGCGACCAGCACCAGGAGGAGCAGAGCCAGGCGGGACATGATGCCTCCACGGGAGCCGCTCGCAGAGTGACCACCCCTGGCCCTGCGGCATTATGTACCCCCGAACGAAGGCCACCAGGGATCATTGTGCCCACGCCGGCGATCGCGGCACATGTCGCGTGGGCGGCCAGCGGTGAAGGGGTCACCGTGCAGTGATTGACACCTGGAGGACTCCGCGCAAATGGCTGATGTTCAGCGGTTGATCGAAATCCGGCCGAGTGGGCGACCGGTGTCGATGTGTCGCAGCCGACACGACCGCGAGAGCGTGCGGTGACAGCTGACTTTTGCGTCATCGTGTCACCTTGCGTGGCCGCAAATTGGCCGGCTGTCAGTTCCACATCCCAGAACATCAGCGATTCGATTATACTTCGTCATTATATCGTCGCAACGATTAGTGACGCGGTCTCGGATTTTTAGAATATATACTTGAACATTGTAAAATGGCCTAATTGTATTTGACGTTAAAAGCCAGCGATTTATATTTTTACCTTTAATACTTTTGCGTGAAAGGTACCTACCTACAGGTAGGACACGGGCTTCGGAATAACAAATGTCACGAACAACTAGGTATGAAATGCGGCAATCATTACCTCATTCATTGGTCCATTATTATTGTGCAATGTGCTATAATGTATGTATAGATCTTTTTCTTTGTCGCATTTTTCTTTGTCGGTGACCCCCTTGGCGATTGGCTCCTATAGCTATAGAAACACCAAATTCGGTAGGTAGGTGGGCCCCACGGAATTCTCACCCCTATGCAAATTTGGTGACTTTAGGTCAATATTTAGAGGGAATTTGCGGGTCAAAATGTAAAAAAATTCGCCGTGACGGCTCCATAGTTTTTTGCATATAACTTTTTACTGATAAAGTCATCGAAAAAAAGTAATAACACCAGAATCTGCCCCCTCCCGTTATTCGCCAATAACTTGTAAACGCGTTACGCCAGCGACGTCAAACTTTCAGTACCTTATCATATATTACTTTAATACATTCCCTGAAAATTTGAGTGAAATCCGTCGGAAATGTTTTGAGAAAATGACGTTTAAGTGACGTCATGTCACGCCATTTTCGCTTAAAAACGGCAAAACTTCAAACGCCGCTAACATCTTCATTTTTAAAGGAATCAAGACGTATCAAAATTATTATACGTGATTCTTTCTTGTCTATCAAATATTTCTCTCCGTTTTTGAAAATTTTGGATTTTGCCCATTTTTTCTTGAAAAACTAACTTTTTTTGGAAAATAATTATAAAATCCAAAATTTTGAGTGTATCGAAAAAAAAACGGAATATAAATCAGAGAAGTGGTCTACATATATGCACCTACATACCAATTTTTAGAAGAATCGGTTCAAAAATGTGGGAATTATTCAAAATATTACGACGTTGCACGACACACAAAATTTTAGAAAAATGATTTTTCTGGACGTTTTAGACCTCGTACGGAAACAAAAATAGCACCATTCGATTCGCCGTGAAAAACTGCATCGGATAGACACCTTTTTAGATCTTATAACAACCAACTTCAAAATTTGACCTCACTTGACCTGACCTTAACCTGACCTCGTCCTGAAATTCATCCAGATGTGGTCCATATCACTTATTGAGCGTGCCTATTGAATTCTATGAAAAATTCTATGGCCCATAGAACATGTGTCGCACGTGCCCTTTTTTATATTTCGTTTTTGGTGACCAGACCTGACCTTGACCTTGATCTTGACCTAGCATGATGTTGTATGCAACAAATATTGTCTTGGTAACCTAAGAACACGTTTTGCGCAACCAGTCTCAGTCCATTCTTCGGCACTACGGTTTTTAACCCACGAGCCGCGGGGGGGGGGGGGCATAAAGTTGCCGCCCTTTACGTTTTGCGGAATATCTCCAAAACCTGATGAGCTACGAACGTGAAACTTGGCATAGTTTCAAATGAATACCAAGGCAATGTTTGAGCAAAATTTGATGGTTGTAGGACTTAAGATGACGTCACAGTGACGTCATAAAATATTGTCGTTTTCCGATACGGACCGTTTCTGATGTCGTTGAGCATGAAACTCAACAGTAAATGAACTAGACAGCACCTGCTGTCATCCTAAAACATCTAAGTACACTTCCATCTAGTTCCTGACCAATACCTAATCGGCCCTTTATATTCGGTCCCATATATCTGATATATCGTGAGGAAACTGAAAGTCGCAAATCTATAATTTGACTTATGACGTCACTGTGACGTCATTTCAAATGAGATCGACACCAAATTTAGACAAAACCTTGGCTAGGTATTCAGGAAGATGTGTGCAAAGTTTCGCTTCTCTATCTCGTCGCGTTGCGACGATATCGTAGTAGAAGTAAAGGGGGGCAACTATATGCCCCCCTCCTAGAGGTCTGCACCGGCCGGCTGCAGCCGCGGCTGGCTGCAGCCCCACGGCTGTGGGCCGGGGCGGCTGCAAATATCTCCAAGAACACGGCTACGGCTGTGGCCACGGCTGTGAGATTTCAAGCTCAATCTCAAGTACTCAAATATAAAATTCTAAATCCTTAATCTTACATTCTGATAAACAGTCTAGCCTGCAAAAATCATGCAAAGGATGCCCAGCAACATTGAAAGTGGTGAAGCCTTTGAAAACCTGTAATGGTTTTACCATTTGCTGTAGGGGAGTTTGCACTCTGGTACAGAATACTAATTATAGGTACCAATTGTTCCTTCATCATCAAGAGCTTGACAGTTTCAAAAAATGCAACATGTTGCATTGTCACATCCCTCTCAAACCAATCTCACCTGGTCATTAGGAGAGCACCTTACAGCTATTGAAGACGAGCGTTCAATAATTCTTTCAGGTAATAGAAAAAGAAACCACGCCTAGGTAAAGGCAGGCAAAGGCTTCATAAAATATTATCTAAAATAACTCTTAGATGTATTTCTGGATTTTCGGCAAGTCCAAATACATAATATAAAACTGGCGCTTTATGTTCTAACTGGTGTGTGAGTGACCACTAACAGAAAATGCTGATCAACGAAGCCAATGGAATTAGATTATAAGTGAGCATGAACCTTACTTACGGTTAATTCATATGATGGTGAAAACCATGAACACGTAATTCACATTACGGTGAAAACCCTGAACACAATATTTCTTACGCGAGCTGTTGACTTTACTAATAAAATGACGTCTTTTTCTAAAAAATGTAAAAATGTGATACTTATTCTTTGTTTGAGAGCAAGTTTTTAACTGTATAGCATTATTATTTATTAATTTGGATTTTTATGGCTGTTTATAGTGAGTCAAAGCAATTTATTGCCACTTCTTTGCTATTGACGTCATTTAAACTCAAGTAAAATTTTTGATTGAAAGAGGCAATTGTGGCTCGCACGTCCTTGGGGATTTGAGCGAAGATCATTATTTGGAAAAATAAAAAAGATGAATGTTTTTCTTTCTTGGATGCTCACTAGTGCTTTCATGCCTTGCATATCAAATTAGTTTGAGACTTACTCAGAAGGCTCAGAAGGCTGCTTCAAGCCTGGCATATCACACCCCAGAAAATATGCAAGGTAAGAAAGAAGCAAGAGTTTTGACTAGACAATCACTGTTTGACAGTCCATCAACTTCAGTTTCATTTTCCATACCTAACATTGATAATGAAAAGCATCAGGGTCTGTTGTTCTGTCCCACAACCATGCTTCAGGATTTGGCATTAGATGTCTACACTGTTAGTGCTTCTATTCTGGTTCGTTGTTTATGTTTTCTGTTGATGTAGGTACCTACCTACTCATCTTTCTTAACCCCTTGCAAGGGCTTGTGTAGGCATGCGTTGCGCATCAGGCTTCAGGCCTTTGGCCTAAAGACAGATACACAACCACTTAACCTATGATGCTTCATGAGCTTGATAATCTATAGCCCATTGCAATGTGCTTTTGGCTATATGCTTCAACTAAAAACAACTTATATAATAGGTATACTATTTTTATATACTATTTGGTTGCATTTCATTGAAAGTATCCACGGCCGGCTGACGGCTGGCTGCCCACAGTTTGCCACGGCTGTGGGCGGCTGTGGCTGTGGAGCCACGGCTGCGGGGCGGCTAGGCTGTGGAAAATTGCAGCCGTGCAGAACTCTACCCCCTCCCCCCAGCGGCCGGCGGGTGGCGCGGAGGCCCAGCGGCCGCCGGGTTAAGGAAAGTTACTACGGCCTATGCTGATGTGCTTTGATTTGGAATTCGGTCAATCCCTCTACTCGAAAACTGCTGTGCAAGTGTATTTTCGACATAGCCAACAAATGACCTTAGGTCATCGCATGACCTTGAGAGGTCAAATGGGTATTATGAAAGTAAGTTTAGATGCTGGCGAGTCGATTGGTGCCATTTTTAGCGCTCTAGCTCTACTGGTTGCGCCACAATCTGCTGTGCAAATTTGGGCCACGTGACCTTTGCTGACCTCTGTAGGTCAAACGGCTGGGAGTGCCACCGAATGACTCGAACTGTGGATTGGGCATGTCAGGACCTACATTGTGTGCGAGGCTCAGCTTGATCGGAGGTGTCCCGAATCTGGGCTGAATCCGGGCCGCGACGTATGCAGTGTCGTTTATTTGTACATTTTGCCCTGCCGAGGTCAAACGGGGTCACATATCGAAAAGCTGTCTTTAAGGAAAGTTGCTTCGGCCTATGGGCTACCCGATGATGTGCTTTGATTTTGAATTTGGTCAATCCCTCTACTCGAAAACTCAAAAGTGCTGTGCAAGTGTATTTTCGACATAGCCCACAAATGAGCTTAGGTCATCGCATGACTTTGAGAGTTGAGAGGTCAAATGGATGTTGGGAAAGTAAGGCTAGATGCTGGCGAGTCGATTTGTGCCATTTTTGGCGCTCTAGCTCTACTGGGTGGGCCACAATCTGCTGTGCAAATTTGGGCCACGTGACCTTTGCTGACCTCTGTAGGTCAAACGGCTGGCAGTGCCGCCGAATGACTCGGACTGTGGATTGGGCATGTCAGGACGTACATTGTGTGCGAGTTTCAGCTTGCTCAGAGGTGTCCCGAATCTGGGCTGAATCCGGGCTGAATCTGTGCTGAGTATGGGCTGTCTTGATGAACATCCGCGCTCAATTTGGGCATGTAGACTCTTAAAATCTCGGATTGGGCGGATAGAGTTTCCCAAGTATTGGCTCCAAAACAACGTATTCGGTTCCCGAATGCGTCCAAGTGTCCGTCTCGTTCAATTAGATCAAGTGTCTCATAAGGAGCGAAAAAGCGACAAAAAGCATGAATTTCCCTATGGCGGTGGGCTGCCAGGTTGCCAGACGGCGCACCGGCTATTTCCACTTTTGACCGGTCCCACTTGAAATGGACCGGTCGGCCGCCCGGGCGGTTGGGGCGCCGGCCTGTCGGGTCGGGTCGGCGCTCCCTATAAGCACCTAGGCCCTGTTTCACCGGTGATAGCAGCACGCTGCTATCAAATTGCGCGAGCTGACGTAATGTGATGACGTCATACTGCTGACGTAAGGGGCAATTCTGGCGCACGATTGCCGCAATATTGTTTTACGTCATCAGCTAAATGTTCGAAGTTAATGTCCAAATTTTTCCTAAACCCAACTTCTTTTAAATACATCATATTGAAAAAATATATATCAAAAATATATATACTATCATGACTGCGTAAACTCTTACTTTTAGGCTCATACGTCACTTAATGCCGCCGCCAAGGTCGCGGCAATCGTGCGCCGGAACTACCCATTACGACAACAGTATGGCGTCACGACATGACGTCAGCTCGCGAAACGTGATAGCAGCTTGCTGCTATCACCGGTGAAACAGGGCCTTAAAGGGACCATCCCACCTTAACATTAGTTTTGAGTTGAGATAGCCAAGTTTGCGGCCAGGCTCAGAAACCACCATTTATCCTGGTCGCAACCCCCGCAGCTTTATGGTGTTCAAGAAATTTCTTCCCTTTACTTGCAGGGTGGGACCAGCTTAGTCCCTATCTCTTAACCATTAGCGGTTTTTTGATGACGTCAGCAGTCATTTCAACGCCCGCCATTCCTTGAACCCGAGTTTTGCTGACCTTGAGCTCCCTTTCTTATCAACGTGAAATCCGTCGTCGGCGATGAGAAAGCCTATTGCTTTTCATTTTAATTTGAATATTAGAAGATACCCACCACTGGAACTTGGACTGATATTATACCAAGGCCGAAGATGATCAAGCTGCCTGCTATATCTGGAGCTTGGTGTTCAACTTCAACATGGAATAAAAAACAAAATATCAAAGCAAACTGGATATGGTACTGCAAGTTAAAGTCCAAAGAAATTTGAAGAGCTGACAATTGACATTAATTCTTTTCCCGCAAGGTTTCCATAGGAGATCACACCATGAAGAAATATTTTTGATGTTAACAGTTGAAAGGGGATTGATCTTCCAGTTTTGACGAAAGACGCTGCTGACTGTCTTTGGAAAAGGATGTCGGCATGAGGTGCAATTGTGCTTGTGAAGTGGTTATAACTGGACTTTTCACAGTATTAAATTAAATGTGCCATTGCAGCCAAGTGTGTTATCATGTAAGGTAAAATCAAAACTACAATGTTGGTTTTACGAGCATTGAGAAGGCTGGTAGGTAACACCTGCCTGTGCTCGTAAATCATGCTGCCAGAGTATTCTAAATTAATTTTATCATACAATTTTGTTGTCCAGAATGGTTGCACTATTGTTTGGTATCATATTATTCCATGTAAATATGGTAGTGTAAAGTCCGACCAACATGTTACCAGATTTGAAGCTGTTACGTTACCTAAGTACCTGTTTTTTACTGGCGTGGTGAATGTCACCTGGATTTTGTTTTGAGGTGCAGACCTAGTAACTCTGACTACATGGGTTTGAAGCTATTATCTATTCTGTTTTTACTGGCCTGGTGAATGGCGACTGATGTTGTCCGTGGATGGCACTGAAACAAATTTTGAGTGTTTTGTGCAGTGTTTTAATACAATGCTGAGGGCTGAAAGTTGTCTTGTTTAGAGTGGTGAAAGTTCAGGATATGCCAGCCACCATGGTGGGTCAGAGTTAAATGTGTTGCAGTCAGTTCGGCTTCGGCAAGCACACGGATGGGCATACGCATCAAGACCTGCTCTGCCATACTTTCAGCCAATTTTACCTAGGTAAGTCTTTTCTTTTTTCTGCCAAAAGCTATGACATTGTGAATTTCAGCACTGTGGCCTGTGTGTAGCTTTCAGGAAAGCAATTCTAAATAAAGCTCTGATAAAGTGCAAAATCAGCAATGCAGCCCTCTATTACATTTTCTACAACATCTTACTTGTTCCTTGCATGGAGAGAAAAATGCAATGTTATGAATTCGTTTATTCACATAATTTGACAAGCATGCAGTTACCTGCTACTATCACTGCACAAAACAGAGCAGAAAACATGAGTTGATCAAACACAAGACATAACAGAAGTTTACAACATAGGGCTGCCGAACCTGCTTCCTCCCACCACAGTTGATGCCATTTCCTAGCCTGGCTTGATGTGAGCACTGAATAGCTGCTTTGTCTAATTACAGCTCACTACCATTCAACTTAAACTACTCTCTTTAAAGTAAGAGTGAGAGCGTTCAGTGTTCATAGCAGCTCGACAGACGACAGACAACAAACATCTTGACAAACCAACCAGTATTTGATTTGGCTAATGATTTATGTGCTTGTTGTATCATGGCCAAACTACTTTAACAGCAATAATCCCTGTTTCATCTTGATCTTGCTTTTATTTCCATTTGAACTCAGATCTTGAAACAATCATCTGAAGTGATATCAGATACTGGCTTCTGTTTCTCTTGAAAGCAAGTTAAAACAACAATGATAAACTAAGGCAGGAGATGTGAGTTGTGGCAGTAGATTTTTGATTCAACATATGTCAACCTTATATTGCTTGAGACCTCTGTGACAGACAAACAAATATTTATAGTTTTTTGATAGTTTGGATTCTTGGCTTGATTTAGCAGATCAGCTGTGAACCTTGACTTTGAAATCACATAAATGTTATGGTACCCGAACGAATCCTCGCATGACATTTCTTCGTAGCACAATTTTTCGTCCGCATTTCTTCGTCTACAAATCTTCGTCGGTGCATTTATTTGTCCCTCAATGCTTACTCTTGCATATATTTGCGTTGAAGAAGAAATGCGAGCCGATTTTCATATACCCTGGTGCGAGACAAAGTAATGCGATAGGTACGAATAAATGCCCTGACGAAGATTTGCAGACGAAGAATTGCGATACGAAGAAATGCCATAAGAATTGTCCTGGAATCCTTTATTGGCCATCATATATTGACCTTGATAAGATAAACGCATCATTCGCGCAATATTTGTCGCACTTTGATACCGAACTATTGCTTCCAAATGCCGACGTAAAGAAAACCTTTATGTGACGTCATAGAAACAGCGGATTTCCCAAAAAGTAAACAAAAATAAAAGTCTTATATCTCGAAAACGGGTGAATATTTTCCGGTAAAATTTGGTAGATGTTCATTTTCGCTCTTTGTGATTCACGCTACATCACTTTTATGCCAATTCATTAACTTTTTTGAAGGTGGGAGGGTCCCTTTAATCACCCGGGGACCAGTCGTTGAAAGCAAGAAACAACGACGAGGAGAAGGTCTTGTAAAAAGTTGTAGCGATTGCATTGAGCATTCAATGACGAAAATATTTCAACCCCCCACCTCCTCAAGCGATCACGTGCCGTCACCCACCTGATTGTAGCAAAGCCACGTCAGGGGTCACGACCTTGAACATGTTTGTGGTTTCGCTCGGATAATAAAATATATTTTTTAAGACGGCCTTGAGAATCTCAAACAAAAGTACAAAAGCTTTGCTTCAGCTTGGTGGTGCGTTACGATCGTGTGTTCTTTATGTTTTTAATCATTTTATTTTCCTTTTCATGCGTATTTTTTGGCATTAAGGTCCTCTAACGTATCGTGTTTATGTTGCACATCTATATAGGTATCACAGTCTGAGTCCCTGCATAGGCTATCATCTTGACTGCACTGCGTAGTGCGTTAGCATCACCATTGTCCATTGACATCAACATGACATTTGACAATGAGCAAAAACAATGGGATACTTTTAAACTGCTTTCATCTTTGTCGCTGTGTTGTGTTGTCATTGTTGAATTGCTAACAGATGATTGTTATTTTCAGATATTCCAATAGCTACCACTTTGCCTGCTGTCAGACTTCGGAGAGCATGGAAGCTGTAAAGAAGCCAAAAGGGAAATCAAAGGTATATTCCGTTAAAGTATTGCAAAAATGTTCTGCATTCAAAATTACTTAGATGATAATGAAGTTTGAAATTAAAGACCTAAACCTACAAACCTACAACCTAACCTAACCTAAAACCTAAAATTTTTGCTGTTTCATATTCATATCAACAGCGTCACAATTGTAGTTAGGACCTAAACTTGACATATACCAACCTTTTTCTATCATAAGACAAGTCCTGTAGGCTGTAGGTGTAGTTAACTGTACTTCATCATCCTAAATTACATGAAAAGTGAAAACTTTCATGAATTTGTAGAAAACGATAAAAGAAACACTGTCATAAGTCAATAAAGCACCATAGAGAATGATGTTATTTGTCAAGATAAGGCCCGATCTACAATTGTGGAGCTGTTGATGAAATTGTACAGTGATGATGAAAGTGTACCGTTAAGTTACTCAGGAGGACCGTCCTGTAGGGGCAATTTCTTTAGGGGCAATTTCGTACACATATGACAAAATGAATGTCACCATCGTGTTCTACGCCCCAAATTACCCATAAAACATGTGTCACAGGCTGCGAATATCAGTTTTGATTTTCGGGGATATGTGCCTACCCGGTTGACCTGACCTTTCTTACCTCGTATTCTTACCTCGTTGGGTTCCTCTTTGCCTCGCTTGTCCGGATAGGAAGGGGTCAAGTTGGGTGGATGTAAGGAACCCTAAATGAAAGAGACGCGCCAGTCCAAATGGTGACAGACAAGAAATAATAACATTTAATAATGGACCGGAAATTGCGCCTCGCGAAACATAGTCGTACAAGATAGACCTATATCATATAAGAAAAACAAGTTTTAAGACGATACCTACCTATAGAGTTATCATTACCACAACACAGTTCGCATTTTCATATCAGTTAATCTACATAGTCGAACAGTTTGCTACGAATACATGTATCGAGAATGCGTTTTAGGCTATTAATATTAGTCGCGCGTGCTGCCTCTGCAGGCAGCTCATTCCATATACGAATACAGCTAACAGAAAAAAAGCGCTTGCGAGTGTCAGTTCTGGTGGCTGGGGGAAATATCTTACATCTGTGACCCCTGGTGCCGCTGCGATAGGGCCTCTGGAAAAGGTCATTAGGATTAATACAGGAGTGGTTATTTAGGATTTTCCAGTACTGGATCAGGTCGGCCCGCAGCAGTCTACCCTGTACCGAATAGAGGTCCAATGCAGCTAACCTTTCACCATAGTTAAGTCCAGTCATTCCATCAATGTGTCTCGTCCATCTCCGCTGAACCCGTTCAAGAAGTCGAAGGTCTTGTACATACCCAGTATTCCAAATGCAAGAACAGTACTCCATGATTGGTCGGATGTGGGTTGTGAGAAGGGACAGCATAAATTGAGGAGAGCGACACACTGTGGACTTAAGACGTAGGCTTTCAGCTAGGCCACCCGCCTTATGGGCTACATTTCGGATGTGGTCATGAAACTTCATGGTGACATCAACAAGGACGCCCAAGTCAGAGGCCTTGCTTGCTGGAGTTATCGGAGCACCATTCAGGATGTAGGATGGCTGGCTAATGTTGGGACAGGGTCCAGCAAAGCGTACCTTGACTCTGACCTATGCTTGACTGACCCCTACATGGAGCTGACACTCTTGTAGACCTTATATGATGGATTGTGCACCGTTTAGACAGAGTTTATGACGAGAGGCGCCCATTGCGAAGTCCTGAAGTCCATTCTACTGAAAGCCCGATTTCAGGTGTTTGACCTGACCTTGACCCGACCTGTGACCTCAAAATTCAATTTTAAAGTACTCATCTGAAGCGTCTCGTCGCGTTCTTTCGTTTGCCGCCTCGTGCGTTTCGCTGCGCCTATTGGTTCTCGAGTTGTCGGCTGGGGGCGTTTAACACCCCCCCCCCCCCAGCAAACGGTGGGTGGCGAAATACCCCAGCAACTGCCGGGTTAACAGGAATAACAATATTTCCCACTTTTTGTCTTGAGCATTGGACCAATCATTGTCAAGCATTGACAAATGGTGATTGGTCTATTTCTGCTAGTGTGTGAATGCTTCTCTGAAGCAGACTTTGCCAACAATCCTCCAGGAATGTCTGTCACACTTTTTGTAATGCTATAAAAGCCAGAGTACTTTCATCATGCTAAAAAGACAGAGTGTACCCCTTGGCTAAGATGAGTTCTGGCCATCTTGCACCTAAATTTCAGAAATCATCTGGTTGTACCAAAATTTTGGCATTCTGAGGTATGCCTCCACTGAACGTTTGGCACAATCACCCAATACACCAGACATCAATGGTGACATCATTTTTTCCCAGTTTGATCTGTAATAATTGTTTTAGATTTTGATTGTTCTGCCATTCTTTTAATCAAATCCTCCTTGTTTGACTTGCTTCAGACTAAGGTCCGTTCACATCGCTGCCAACCTGGAGCATCAGTGGTTGCACACAGTGAAGAAATAAAAGACACTGAGGTTGACATTAACAACCAACCGGTCAGTGAAGTGCAGGGTGATGCTAAGGATGCTGCCTCCCATGACACTGGATCTCTCACAGCTGATGGCACATCTCCAGAGAACACAGCGCACAGTGCTACAACAGACACTACGCAGCAGTCATCAGGTGCAGTGGCTGAACTGGCAGAATCCATGGAGGCTACACACCTGCTGGAGACTGCTGCAGATGCTGCTGTGTCAGTCATTGCTCCAGGGCAGTCTGAGGACGCAGTGCCAGAGGAGCCCAGAGATACTATTGCTAAACATTCCTCAGATGCATCAGATGCAGTGCTAGGCCGGCAGGTGGATGCAGTGTCGGACCAGTATGTTGATGCGGCACCTCAGCAGTCTGGAGCCACGGTGCCAGCTGGCGAGCTGGTGTCACTCTGCTCCACTGACGCCAGTGAGACGTGCGGCTCGCCGTTCACCACGCTCACCATGCCAGCGGCAGTGGAGCGGCTGTACCCTGAGCTGGAGACCCCGCCGGCGGAGGCAGACGAGCGCTGCTCCTGGCCACAGGAGCAGGAGGAGCAGTTCGAGCCGTCAGCGCCGGCGGCCGACGAGGCCGTGCCCCTGGCGCTCACCGCCAGTCAGGTGTCTATCTCCGAGGGACCGTTCTCGTTCGAGACGGAGCAGAAGGACCCGCTGTCGTTCCTGGGTCGTGATGTTGTGCCGATGACGGACGCCCAGCTGGCCGACTTCTACCACAACGAGGAGCTGCGCCGACGCGACGAGTACGCCGCCCATTTTGTGTCTCAATACGGGCCGTCGGCGCAGCCTGATGACGAGCTGGCCTCTCTGCTGGAGGGGTACCGGCGAGCGGGCTCGGCACTACGTGCGGCCGCCCGACGTCAGGCGCAGCTGCACTCCGATTACGAGTCGCGTCGGTCAAAGTGCTGGGAGCTGGTGCGGAAGACGGTGCGCGGTGAGGCCGAGTGTGACGATGGTCGAACGCTGAGTGCTACACACGAGTTCCGCAGTGCGTCTCTGGACTCGGTGGCGCTACAGAGCCTGCGCGAGGCGCTGTCGGCGCTACGGCGTCTTCTCTATGACGAGTACGGTCTGCACGCGTACAGCGTGCTGCTGGCGCGCCTGCAGGTGGAGACGTACCTCCACACGACCGTGGGTCGCCTACCGGAGGTGACCGCGCCGCCGCCGGCCGCTCCGCGTCTCCACTACGAAACCCCCGGCCAGGAGGCGGCGGCCGCGGCGCTGCGCGCCTGTTGCGCCGTGCTATTCGCTCAGCAGCGGCGGCGTGCCGAGACCGTGTTCACGCAGCAGACGCGGCGCTGGCTGCTGCAGGTGGCGGCGCCGCTGCTGCGACTCGGCACCGTCAACGACCACCTGTTCGTGCTGCACCAGGCGCTGCGGTGTCCGAGCGGCTCGGCCGGCTGGACGGCGGCGCTGCTGCAGCCGCCGCGGCCCGACCTGCCGGCCGGCCTGGACCACGCGCTCACCGTGCTTGCCGCCCTGCTCTCCCCCGTCAGGTGAGTAGGTGCGGTCGGGGTTACCTGTTTCATCATTCTCTCAAACTCTGGTGGGGGTGGACAGTGGAGGTATGGGTCTTTCTAACAGCAGCTGGATCTGGATCGTGTTTGTTTATTCCAAGAATCGAACATATCGATTGTAATATGACTATTTCATGTTCTCGTGAATTGATGGAAAACAGACAGTGACGAAAATTATAGGCCAGACCGCGTGTGATATAAACAATACGCCTACATTATCACTCGCGGGTCTATGCTCCGGTCCACACATTGTTACGGGCGCTCTCACTCACACGAGGTCGGTAAATAGGAAAGGGACGCAATAGCGACGTTGTCGCTAAAAAGACACGTTTAATGTCTCGGCGCCACTCCGATTCTCCCTGCGTCCATCGGTCTCGCAAAGCTGTCAGAGTAATGTGTACCGCTTGAGCAGCGTGTTCAGGACCTCTGGCTTGTTCAGAGATGATCACCATCTTCGCGAGATCGTCACACCGTATGGCAAAGTTATTAATGGTGCCCACCAGCGCGGCCAACCGACTCATGCGAGGCATCAGTGCTGTTGTTTTATGATCTCACTTACGCTTTCCCGAAAGAACTCTGCCACACCACTTATGCGCTTTTTGTCTTAGTAAGTTTATCGCTGATCCGTCGTACATTTTACGGGCCGGTCCATTTTTTAGATCATGAATTCAGAATTTACTGCAGAACTTCGATATTCTTATCTGTATACGGGTGGACAATCACCAGTCTTTGTAATGTTCGATAGGGATATACTTGGCTCAACATTGTGCCAGTTCGGTCAACATAACTTGGCACGATCTGAACCGCGCTGCTGCGTCAGCTGCCGACTCGGCGTTTGGCTCTGCTCGCAACGTCTCTGTCCGTTGGCCAAATGGTACCCGCGATTGTATAGCAATGTCCGTGACCCTTCAGGACGAAGGGCACCTGATATGCCCGCTGCAACTCTCATCTGTGGCGATGCTGCAGTCCAGCGAGTGTCTGTTTCGATTGCAGCTCAGACTATCGGTTACGATATGTTCAAAGGGCGATACGAGCAGTGTTTACATGAGGTACTTAGGTTTTACGTCGATACGGGACATCAGGCAGCTACTTGACCAGCGTTCAGTGATAAATGACCTTGATGAAGAACATCATTACACCTAGTTTACAATTTCAATTTTTGGTTCTCAAAATTTCATTGAGGTTACGTATCGCGTCGATATTATTCGTTTTAGACAATGATGTGTTACTACGGATCCAAGAGTGCTATATTATCTTATTTATTTGGGCATACAACATCTTTGTTGTTGGCATATAGTCACTTTCACTTGCGATACTATGCAATCGATATGTACATATTTCTATGGATGCAAATTATGTTTGCTACTTTTTCTTTTTAAAAAATCCTTATTTTACCGGTCAGCATAACGTCAACTCATGCATTTCGCGTCTATCGTTACTTTCAACTAATGGTGTGTGCTCTCGCAGTCCATCTGCGCCGTTGCTGAGCACGAATCTCCACTCATCTCCAATCCCGCCGTCAAGTGCGCCTCCTGTGGTATACACCCATCCACTGACCGCCCTTCCCCCTTCATGTCAGGGAGCGGGACAAGTTCCTCGTTCATCTGCACGGCTCGGCGCCGGACCCCGAGCAGCGGGAGGACGGGGAGGACGAGGAATGGGTCCTCCTCGAGGACGAGGACTCGGAGGCCGAGAAGACGGCCGGCTTCGTCAAATTGCAGGAGGCCGACCTGGTGACTCTGTTCAACCAGGTGAGGAGTCCGAACGCTTTGATTAGGATTGGAACATTCAGCAGTGACCGTGATGAGTCCCGCAGATCGTTGGTTTCAGCCGTAAATTGCAGAGTAGGCAACTAGGTTTAGTGTTTAGTTTCGTAAATTATATCTTTTTAGCCTGGCGGGCCCCAGCTGACCCCTGATTTGGCAGATCATTTCAGATTCCATGAACCCGGCTACTGACCAGTCTGGACTCGAGTGTTGTGCATCTGACCTCCATCCCGGTCTTGGATGCCAATGTGACCATCAGCTTCCGTGTGACAGACCTTTGACCTCTGACCCCATGACGTGACCGCTGCCGCCGCGGGGGCCGTGGCGCGTCACCTGACCTCTGACCTCTGTGACCCTCAGCTGCCGTGGGGTGCCGTGGTGCGCCACCTGCTGCGGATGGGTCGCGGCCCGGACGGCGGAGACGTGTATAACGCGGCCGTCTCCAGTTCTTCCGACATCCTGCGGCTGTTTGCCTGCGCCTCGCAGATCATCGGTCTGCTGGCGGCCGGACTGGCAGAGTACAGCGGCGCCGCGCACAAGCAGCTCAACAAACGGTAAATATCAGCACGTTAACATCTGATAGAGGCGTGACCCACAAATAGTTCAATAAACGGTAAATGACCGCATGAGCGAATGTCTGAAGAAAGTTAATCTAAGAAATTAACAGCAATAAGCATCGAGGCTCCCCTAACTGCATTGTACTGAGCTGCATCTTTAGTAGAACCATCCTTGTCACAGAAACCCAAAGGCTTTCACGAATGCCGTAGTCTTTACATGAAGTTTTTCCGTAATCGGGAATCAGTGGACCGGCTGTAGAGAGGAACGAATAAAGAAGACACGCGGCTTCGCTGCTCTGCTTTGACGTCGATCTCCTCTTCTTTTCGTCAGGATGTTGATACGCGGCTAGCCGTTCTACTTTGACATCGATCTTCTCTTCTTTTGGTCAGGATGTGCCACCAGCTGCTGCACCTGGTTCATTACGTCACCGACCACTGGGAGAGCTACATCATGGCGTCGGCCGACGACATGGCCACCCGGGGCCGGCTGATGGTCAGTAATGGGGAGGTCATTAAGGACAGGTCACCTAGGGCTGGTTGATGGTCAGTGGTGGTGGTCTGGCAAGGAACAGGTGACTTTGCTGATGGTCAGTCACTGGTGGGGAGAGAGCACTGGCAGTGACGGGAACCGGCGTCACCGCGGGCGGGTTTCTGAGCATAGGATGGCTTGTCGATTAGTATTGTCATGTCAGGGCGTTGAAACGCTTATGCCTAGTGGAGGGAGAACTTCAAAGTGCATGACATGATCTTTCTGCCTGATATCGTCTGGTGGCTAAGGAATGCGAGGTCGATTGCCTCTGTCTTACTTATCTTCTAGTTTCTACCCACTTATTTAGGTACCCTAAAGTACGTACGTCGCGACTCACTCTCCCTCCCATGTCTTTCTCCGTCCCCAGGTGGAGTACGACAGTTTCATGTGCCGCTCGGCCGTGAGCGTGCTCTGCTCTCCACGTCTGGCCGTCTGGCACTTTCTGGCCAGTTTCCCGTTCGGCCGGCTGACAGCCCGCACCTCTTGGCGCCTGCTGTGGCTGTTCCACACGTCCGGACGGCCCCAGGAGACGGCAGACATGCCCGCCGTGCCGCACGATCAGGACGATGGTGAGTGGGCGGGAGCGGGGTGGGTGTTAGGCGTTGGGATGGGTCCTGTTGATGGGTGACGAACGTTGGGCAGAGTTGGGTCGGGCCATCTGAGTGGATGGGACGTTGTGTGAGTACTGAGTGGATGTTGCTGTAGTGGCTGGAAACGGATTTTGAGTACCCGGTCGGTGTATATCTGGCATTATCTAGCTTGTAGTATGAATCTGTATCCTATTTTACCATGCTAGACTATGACAGTGTTTTTTGCGATGCTGTATTTTGGCCACTTGCATTGTTTCCATTGTTGCTGCTTATCACGCGTGTCTGCCCATCTGACCGTTCGCCGTTCTCCCCTGTGCGCTAGTGTGGGCGGCGGAGATTTTCTCTCCGACCTTCCACTCGCTGTTCGTCCACCAGCTGGTACACATGAGTCAGTCCGAGGTGTACTTCCGACTGACGGCGCTGGCCAACATGGCCATGGCCCGCGACGCCAGGGAGAGGACATTCATCAAGGCGGTGACGCGAGATCTGGTTCAGGTGAGTGGTGAGAGGACCCCCGGTGACCTGGATCATCTGAAGGGTGGGAGGCTGCAGACTCATATCTATGTGACCATTTTGAGGTTGACGTCTGATGGTTGAGTTAGACCATTTTCTGTGTGTGATATCCGGTTGCCATAAACAGTTCGATCATTCATTTTGTTTGGTGTGACGATTATGTCGTTCGTTGGGTGATTAATGTCACAATATAAAGTTCTTCAGTTTCGATTTTACTGTTTTGTTTGATACTGTCCCTGCTGTTTTTTAGGTGGGCCACCGGTCCCTAGCCTGTCATGGTAGTGCATATGCTCGTTGCTGACCTGGTGACGACGTCGTTTTTCCTCTCCCCGTTCAGGTATCTTTCGTGACACCGACGACTCGTGAGCTATGCTCCCGGTCGGGCCGAGACCTGCTGGCGGCCACCTGCACCCGACACCCGTTCGTCATCTCATACGTGCTCTCGCTGACTCAGGAGAACCTGCACACCATGGGAAAGGTCAGAGATCACGCGGGGGGGGGGGCGGAGTATAAGACTTTGGCTTGCCATTTGACTTGAGTGTCGGAATACACGCAAAATTGTTAAATTTTAAACCTGTCTTTAATTGTAAACGGACCGTAGATGGTTCTGCCGCAAACTTGAATGCTATTTTTGAATAAAACATGTCAAATTGTACCTATATACATAGGAATAAACGTTACGCTGAGATGCATAGCACTAGTGGCGGCTGCTGATGTAAGTTGTAACTGTATTTATTCTGTAGCTCTGAGCCTCGCTGCTGCAGCTGCTGTGTCGATTGACTTTTGCCGTCCCGCTGTGGGCAAAGGTGTGGTCATCCCGGTGCCCCGTCTGACCGTCTGTCTGTTCCGGCAGAGCGCACTGTTCCTGTTCTCGGGCCTGCCGCTGGGCCTGTGGCGGCCGTCCGGCTCCGACCTGGCCCAAGTGTGCGCCTGGCTCACCGACCACGCCGTCGACTCGGTCGAGAGCGGTCTGGCGCAGCTGGTGCTCGCCCGGCTCGACTGGGACGTGCGTCCGTACAGCGGCCAGCTGACGCTGCCGGCCGAGTTTCACCGCCGCGCCGCGCTGGCGACAGTTGGAGCTCAGGCGGCGCGCGCGCCCGAGCTCAGCCGCGCGCCGGGACTGGTCGGCGAGGGGCGCAGACAGGCCGGCGCGCTGGCGGCGCTCGTGGCCGACAGCGCCGAGCGCAGGTTCCAGGACTGGGCGTGGGCACAGGTGGCGCGTCTGAAGCTGCACGCGGTGGATCAGCCGGACGCGGCCGGAGGACGGACCGAAATGATGGCTCGGCTGCCGCGGCCCGATGACCCGGAGGTGAGAATGGGGTGGTCGACGGGGCTGCAATATACTCTGCTGAGATTCGAGATCTGCCACCTCTCATATGACGATAGTCACATGTCGAGTTGTGAATGACAACCATGTGCTAGATACTGAGAATACCTCACAGCGTTTAGCCATAGCCATTGATGGTTCCCATATTCTGCAGCCACGCGCCATGTTTGTTCTGAGACTCAGCCCAGGCTGTACAGGTCGATAGAACTGGGCTCTTTTTGTTATCTGCCTTTTCCTCTCGGCTGGCTATCTCTGTGGATGACCAGTCCACGCCCGTCCGACAGGTGTCCGCTCTGGAGGAGGCACGCCGCCGGGACCAGCCGCTCGCCTGTTACGCCACACTGCTGATGACCTCTGAGGGCCACAGTCTGCCTGCTCTGCACGGCAGCGGGCTGTCCCGGCTGGCCGGTCTGGTGAGCTGCGGCCGGCCGGCGGCCGTCGCCCACCTGCTGGAGGTCATCCTGCCGCTGTTTGTGGGGAGCGCGGAGGAACTGTGTGCCGGCCCGCTGCCGTCCCTGCTGCAGACTATCGTCTCAGCCGACCAGACCTACCTGCGGATGATGAAGCAGCTGGTGACGGCCAGCCAGCCGGGCCCGCTGATTCTCCAAGTGGCTGGTGTGATCGAGGGCCACGTCACCGCGCCGCGCTGCTACGGCCAGCCGTCGGCCGAGCCTCTGGTGGCGCTCTGGCTGCGGGCGCTTACATGTCTGCCTGGCTGGAGTCGCGAGCCGGCGCTGCTGTACCTGCTCAACCAGCTGCTCAGAGCCGCCTTCTGCCGACCGCCGGCCCGAAAACGAGCCGAGAACATCGTCTCCGAGCTGATCGCGGTGAGAAGGGCTGAGGGGAGCGGTGAAGGGGCTGTTGGTAGCCGAGTGTTAATGCCAGGGGTATGGCTGGTGGTGGATGCTCGCCAGTCGGTAATAATGGGTTATGGTGGCTGACACGAGCAAGGTGATTGGTAAAAGTGTCGCTCCGGCCGCAACCACGGTATGATAGCCGACGGCTTGGAGAGTAAGGGAGTATTTTATTAATGCTGCACCTCTAGAACCGGCTTTCATTGTTATCTGTTATCCCCAATTTTATGTGATCTTCACCTTTGTCAAGTTTTCATTCTTTACTTACCAAATAGGCATGTGTTATTCATATCTTTACTATACCCTGCCTCTTCTCCCATCCTCTGACCAGCCTCACGGCTAGTTGGTGTTGCTGTGTCACACTCAGCCATAACCCTCAAATTCCCCTCAGACGGAGAGCGGGGCGCGCCAGTCGGCTGGTCTGGCCTCGCTGCTCTCCTGGGTGTCTGGCGGCGCGCTGCAGCCGCTCCTGCCGGCTGCCTCGCTGCCAGAGGTGCCCTGGCTCGCCTGGTTCTGGTTGCGAGCCGAGACACGCGCAGAGGTGGACTCGGGACTGTGGCACGACCTGATCGCCACCCTGTGCGAGGACCGCCGGCTGCCGCTCGACCAGGCGCTCAAGGTGGGTGGGAGACGGTTACAGACGTTACAGCCGACCGGAGCCAACCAATCGTAGGGCGTGGGTAGCTGGGGAGATGACGTTAATGTGTACACTGTACAGGGACGTAACGAGATTTAGAGGAGACTCCGAGCATAACTTAGTGTGATACACTCACTGTTTCTACTAGGCTGTTTCTGTGGTAGATCTTGTCATGACCCTTTGCTTTGATGGTGTATTTTTTGGCTAATTTAGTGAGTTGATAAAGATGCAGCTTACTTATGATATGATCCATAAATTGATCATCGGACCCTGACATCTAACCAGATATGTTACAATTGGCCTGTGTCCCTCTCCCCCTCCCCCACATATCTAACCTAACCGTCTGGGCGTCTTTATATTGGCATGTATATTGTGTGTCCCTGTGCAGCGCGTGTGCATCCAGCAGCGGCTGCCGCAGACGTGTATCATCTTCTATATCGACACCTTTTTTTAAACCCCACATCTGTTCCCGGTGAATTTCCGGGAAGCACGAAAGATCTCTTTTTAGAAGTGTCCAATCGTCCGATCCTGATCAAATTTGTGTGTTCGTAAGCTTGCTCTGGCATTGCTTGATATGCCAAGACAGACAAACTTGAGAAAAATCGAGTGACTGTACCTTCTTTGAAGGTTTCTAAACAACTTGTCTGAACTTCACGGGAGAACAAATGTGGGGTTTAAAAAAAGGTGTCGATATATCATCTGCCATATCTTAGTCTGTATCGGTACCGTCACTATGTCTAACCTGTCATTCTCTCCGCGCAGCGCGTGTGCAGCCAGCAGCGGCTCCCTCAGACACCCGTACAGCAACTGGCGCTGTACCGGTGGGCTCAGCAGGCGCTCGACACAGACCTTGACTGTCCGCTGCTGCCCGCCCTCTGGCAGCACTTCTTCAGCCTCTACCTGGCCAGGGTCTACGACGTCAACGGGTGGGTAACAGAATCAATAGGACCGGGATGAACCAGGCCGGTCCATCTCGTATCTAGGTACCTGACTCAACTCAATCGAACATGACTGAAATCACTAACCGATCCGGCGTAAACGTGATAGGATTGGCTTGACCTGACTCACGCCTGACTTAACCTTACATGACCCAGCCGGACCAGTATTTGACATGACCTTATTTACTTATTATCGGAATCCATCCTCCTTGGCCCGGATCGGACCGAACACAACCCTATTTGGTAACCGCAGGTTGTTTGAAAAGACAAACACTATTCGTTAGAATTGTGTTTTTCTATAACACTGAGCATGGGCAGGATGGAATGGCAAAAGGGCGACATATTTTCCCCGATCAGGAGCATTGACTATGTCAGTTTCGTTGCACGATGTTCATCTGCCGGCAGCCGTGACCTGGGCAGCGCGGGCGACCGGTTCATGGAGGGACTGGTGAACGTGCAGTACATGAAGCGGCTGAAGCGGCGACTGCAGGAGACGGCCGAACACTACACGACGCGCGCCGAGGAGGCCGGCACCCGCGAGGGGCACGTCATTGACGGAGAGGTGGAGCAGCTCCAGCGGCTGGCGCGGTTAGTGGCCGACGCGGGAGGGGAGAGGGGATACTGAACCGGGATACTTACTGAAAGGGGACTGGTGATTCAGGGGGAGTTGGGAGGAGGGTGGACTTTGTGGCGGAGGGAATGAAGGGCCGAATAATCGCAAAGCACCAGGGGCTGTGTCTATGTATGATGAAGACAGTGTATGATGTTAGACATTCCTGTCTTTCGCGCGCTGTCGGATTATAACTCACCTATAGTGCGTACTGCGTGGCTACTATCTTTTTTAGTTGAAGCGCTTTCCTGCATTGGTCCACTGTCCCCGTGCTCTTCTACATATGCTCTACTCGACATACTCTCCACCTCCCCACTGTGTGCCTTGTTTCTTCGTCAGTCTGTTGGGCACGTTCTCGCTCTGGTTGGAGGAGCCGCGGCTACACCGTCCGGACGTCTCTCTACCGGACCTGCCGGCCACCTACAACCCCAGCAAGCTGATCGAACTGCTCGAGAACGCTCCGGTACGTCCGAAACGAACACAGCAGCCGATCGGAACGCTTAGATGTCAGTGTGTTAGATGTTAGTGTGTTAGATGCCTTCGTGACTTCGGGTCCCATGCTCTTTTTCATCGACAGCTCACCATTGTCATCAATTTCTGATGTTATGGCTAATGCTAGCTTTGCTCCATAATATCTCTTTGATCCCATGACGCTTACCCCCCCCCCCCCCATCCGTAAACGATATCTGGCTGTGACCCATGTCTCGTCCAGTGACGGGTCTCACCTCGTTATCCCGATTTAGCCCCGGTATTCTCATGTGTTACCATTCTTTTACCTTTGACCACTACCTGTCTACCTCACCTGTGACTTCATATTTTCTCACTAGCCGTGTTTGTTTCCTCATCTCGATTTCCCACATATAACCATTAGCTCCCTGTGGTATTTTTACCTAATCCGTGACGTGTTCTGCATGTCTGTGCGGCAGCTGGGCGAGGTGTGGGAGGAGTACATCAACTACTGGGCCGAGTCGCGGCTCAGCGACGCCTGCCTGCGTCAGCGGGTGGCCAGTCACCACGACCACCGGTCGGGAGGCGCGGCCGGCGGGGTGACGCCCGTGCGCAGTGACGACACGCCCGCGCACCGCATCGTCAAACGGTACGGCTGGGCCGGCACGGATGGCCTGCCACCAGCAGCCGGTTCGCGTTGGCGCACTAAGGCCCTAGTGCCACTTGATTTCAAGTCTCACTAGGCGATTTCGGTTCGCGCTGAGCCACTAGCCGATTGGTGTAAAATGCCGCTTAGTGTCACTACCTTCAAGTGTCACTTGGCCACCTAGTCTTACTAGCTTCCTAGTGCGCCATCTCGAATTGATCCCAGAGCGGCTGCTACTCGGCCGCTGGCCCGCCTGCAATCACACTGCTAGGCCGCAGCTCACCTAAAAGTTTTCAAGACAAACATTTCTGAGATCGTCAATGTGGCTGCTTCGAGCAGTTGTGTACGATCTTTGACATGAAAAGCCATCTCTTCATTGTGTTTTTCTCATCTTCGCTCTCACCATTTTCCCCACTGTTCCCTTTATTTGACCCTCCTACTCCCCCAATCTAACTCCCATCCACCCTCAGTCTGCAGTCGTACGACGCCCGGGTCGGACCGCCGCCCCTACAGCGGTTGGACACCCCGGTGCCCCGGCAGACAGCGGCCATGTTCGGGGGACCGGAGGCGGCGCTCGGCGCACTGCGACAGCCGTTCGCTGAGCTCGCTAAATACGCCAGGTGAGGGGTCGATAGGAAGGGTGAACTATATGTATATTACTGGTGAGGTGGAAGTGAGTGACATTGGTGGTTAGGTGAGTTAAATCGGGGCATTTGTTATTAAAAGAAGATGATATATGTGCAGTGGTGGACTGGACATTCGGTAGGCTTCACCGGTATTGATCGATTATTCGGTATAATAATCAATCGTGTCGAAGATAATGTTAAATGCATCATTTTCCCGCAGCTACGCACTTGTTCAAATTTCAGCATCTGTCGCTGTTTTTGTGTGCCAGGCGGTTCACGTGCGAGTCTGCCGAGCACTCGTCGCTGGACGGCCAGTACCTGGAGCTGCTACCGGAGCTGTACACCAACGAGCTGACCCAGGTGGTGGAGAGGATACGGTGCGAGCCGCCGGGCCGCGCCGCGCCGCCCGACCACCGCTGCTCCGGGCCGGCCACCGTCGTACTGGAGGTCAGAGACGGGGGAGGGTATGCCGAGAGGGGTACTAAGAGGGAAGGAAATGGTGTGGTGCTGGAGTTCAGAGACTGTGAGAGGTATGGTGTGCGTGAAACTGAAGAGCTGTAAGAGAGGAGATGGTGTTAACCCAGAGGACAGAGGCAGAGAGGATAGGCTACTGGGATGGAAGTCCTCGATGGAGATAGGGTAGACAAGCTTGAATATAGCTGCTCTCAGCCTCTGTTTGTAGGACAGCCGTCGATTACCGGTCCTTGTCTCTACGCAGTCACCTCCATGTGAAATGGCCGCGCTTTCACAATGAGGTGGACAATGTAAAGGATTCTAATGTGTCTCTTCCTCCCCTTACCACGGTCGTCGGTCACCCTTCTCTACCCCATGTCTCACCTCCCCACCCCATCCACACCGCAGTGTGAGACGGCGCGTCTGGACGGCGGTGTGTATCACCGGATCGACGAGAATCGCCAGCAGGCGGAGCGGCTGGAGCGGACGGCCATGGCCGACCCGCCGCCGCCGCTCGGCGCCGCCGCAGTCACCATCGAGACGTTCATCAAGTGAGTCACTACGGCAGGGTGGTCGGGATGGGAGGAGATGGCTGAAACTGGGTGGGGCGGTGTAATTTTAATGGACTGACTGCTTGAGATGGCATAGCAGTCTGGAGTACTTTATCGTATTTTCAGTCGTGCGAAACGATATGGTTTTGATCTGGGCATTTAACTTCTTGGTATGAAATAGTATAGCATACGATATTTCAGCCAGAATTAATTTGCTGAAGTCAGGGTGCCGAGGAATAGCATTTGACACGTATTCTCTTCCTTTCTTTTAACGATGTGACATCTTAACATGCTATTGAATCGACGACATGCCACTAGTCTCCCAGAACTGAACCGTCCGACGACAATATGTCAAAATTCTATTGGTCCATGGCGTTAGCAAGTAGCATGTCCCCTGGATCCAAACAGGGCGTATCAAGGTTTATTTACTACTCGGACGCATATCTCGTCCGTAACTAATGATGACCGTGTCGTGCGCCCCAGGTCTTTGGTGCGGCGGTACCGGCAGGACGGTTCGTTCCCGACTCAGCTGCAGCGGATCGGCTCCAGCCTATTCCACCACGTGGTAAACGCCACCACTGAGGAGGCGCTCCAGTGTCCGGCCGTGGACCAGCTGCTCACCGCCTGTCTGCAGGTGCTGGGACAGGTGAGGAGTCGGCTGGCGGGTAGGGTTTTCGCACGCTGTGTAGAAATATTCTCGTGCTGCATGATTGAGGACTTAAGAGAATACAGAGCCAGATGCGGGCCGTGCGTCATCATGCTAATGGCTTTCTCTGCTTGGTTGTGTTGTTTTCGTTTCATGTCTACGTTTAGACATCTTCTACTGCTTGTAGTCCGTTACGTTGCACCTTTATCGTGTTATTTTCTGTCGTACGAAGTTGCAGGCCCAAACTGGCGGATCTTGCAAACGTATCGAAATATGACATCCTATACTTACCAATATGTTTTGATTGCCGTGTCTTACTGACCGTGACGTCCTGTACCACCCCATCTACCCCGCCGAGCCATACGATACTGACCCCGCCGTACCACGTCGTTCTGACCCCACCCTACCATGCCCTCAGACGTTCATCCAGCAGCACCCGTCCGAGTGCGGTCCGCTGCTCGACCTGCTGCTGCGCCCCCCGGCCCGCGTTAGCTGTCCCACCGAGCGACTGGCTGAACATTTCACCCCGGCGGCCGCCGACCCCGACACATACGTCCGCCTGTACGGGACTGTGGTCAGGGTCGGCCGGGACAGGGCTGAGCTGAGCTGCCTGCTGCTTGACAGGGTGAGATTGTAGGAACGGGAAGCGGTGGCCGTGTCCTCCCCTATCTGACTGTGTCCTCCCCTACCTGACTTGGAGCTTGGACAACTCGAGCCCCCTCTGAGGATAGGGAAATGATATCTAGAACGGGGACTTACGGGGAACAGGGTCACTTTGGAGACCGAGAGCTATGTGTTGCTGTTAGACCTGAAAATCTTTATTTTTATTTGGCCATACTCCTGATTGGATTGATCTCATTGATTCAAGTTTCTTATAGTGAACTTGTCGAGTGTTCCTGACGAGTAGGTTTGCGTGGCTTTCCCTGATTGATCGGTCAATTGCTGGTTAAGTGGCTCGGTCTTGCTGTGCTTGTCAATCTATCGGAGTTCAATCTGACCACCGTGGCCTCCCTCCCTTGTGCCGTTCGACCTGCTAGTTGTAGTATCTCGTGCTTTTCCGTCTGAAATGTGTCTAACCGTCCCCGCTCCCTCCCGTCTGGTACAGTTCGGCCTGGAGTCGTGGCTGTCCTCGCGTCGTCCGTCACTCTCCCAGCGCTCTGCCCTCATCTCCGCCCTGGTATCCGCTCTGACCGAGCTGGGCGCGCACCCCGAGCGTCCTGACTGGTCGGCGCTACACGCGCTCTACCGGCGCCACCTGGACACGCTGCACCGGCACCAGTTTCCCGAGCACTACGGAGAGATCCTGCAGCGTCTGCTAGACGCCAGCCGCGCCGGACAGCTCAGTCCCATGTGCTGGTTTGACTTTGTCAACGTACTGGCGGCGGGTGTGGTCACATTCACGCCGCAGATGGATGCAGTGCAGCGCAGGAGAGCGGTGGCGGCCCTGGCAGAGCGACCGGGGCCGCTGAGACCGCAGGAGGTGAGCGAGGGGACGATTGGACCATAGGGGTGAGCGAGAGGACCGCACTGAGACCCTAGGGGTGAGAGACCGGGTGTTGCGATTCCAAGTCGAATGTGTAGCGAATGAAACCCAAAAAAAGTTATAAATACACCAAGCGGATGTATTTTAATCAAAGTCCGGGCAAACCCAGCTCTAAACACCGGAGAAAACAGTGACCCTGCCGTCCGCGCTTCAGGGGTCGCCAATCGCACTAAACAGATGCGGCCACAGTGCCGACTCGATCCTTAAATGGGTACAAGTAAATACTCGAGATAGGCTCGAGCGCTACCCCGCAATTACCAACCCTTTAATAGGCTCACAGCCGTATAATTATGAGCGCCCGTACTTGGCACGCTAAATGGTTAATTTCAATACAGCACCATTAATAGCAGCAGACGATCAGCCCACAGACGTTCACGTTTTAACTGCCGCATTAATGGCGCTGTGTTTTGGTGGTCGGGACAAAATGGGTGTGGGGTGGAGGCTAGCCGACAGACGTAGTCTCCAATTTAGATTCTCGAATGCATATGCGCCGCGGGGAACGCCGACAGACTGCCCACAGACGAGCCTGCCAACGCCCCGCAAACGGATATAGACTCGAGAGCCCAACACACCCAGCCGCAGCAAGGACTGTTGCGCGACTGCCCTCCGCCGGCACGACACGACCCGACATCGCCTCACCACTCGTGGTCAGCCGCCGACCAATCAGCACACGCAGGGCCGCGGCAATCGGCGGCGCCCTGACAAGTTAGGCTGTACCGCAATGCGGCGGCCCGCCGCGGCGGCCGGGCGGCGCGCAGGAGCGATAACCGGGGCCCAGCCGTTAACACAAGTTACAAACCAAAAGCAAACTAAGATACACTTTAAAGTTACATGAAAAATATTAATTCATTATGCAAACTTAACATACTCCCCACCAAAATGGGGCTTGCCCCATTTTCATAACTAAGTCCGCTTTAGCACATCACCGGCGCACCACTCTCATGACTGTCCCGCGCAGACCGCCGTCATAGAACTGGAGGTCGCCGGCCGTGGCCGCATCTGTGTCAACGCTCAGCTGGAAGCCATCGGCGGCGGCGGCGGGCGCCGCCACCTCAGCGTCCTCCCAGTCGTCATCGTCGAAGTGCCTGCCGATGATGAGGACGGCTCTTCCTCATACGTCTGCAGCGACCCGATGCGGTCCAGGCCGCCGCACTCATCCACCTGGAGAGCCACGGTGCCCTCCCGGTCCACCTGCTCGGCGCACCTCAGCACGTTCGACGGCGCGTCCATGAAGACCATGATGAGGTCGGCACCCCCGGCGGCCAGCAGGTCACAGCGAGGCTTGGCGGCGCCCAGTCGGCACAGCTCCGCTACCAGCTCCTGGGAGCCGCCCGACGTCAGGTTCAGGATCACCATCACCCGGACGGCCTCCCGCTGCGACCGGTGGTCGTCCTTCTGAAGCATCTCCAGGACGTCAACGGTTACACTAAAAAGACAAGAAAGATTCGTGAGTAGCGAGAACAGCAGATCGCATAATCCAGCGGCAATATGGCGCTGCCAAGCTGCCATGCACTCAGCCGACAGACTGAGTTTGCCATCCTGCTACCGCCCATGTTATCTTCCTGCGACCAAATAATCTAAACACTTAACTAAGCTTATCCTACAGTTAACCTACTATGCTTCTCAGACCCCACGAATCACTGCCAAAAGCCTCCCCACCATGGGACAGCCTCGGGGAAGAACCTCACCGGGGCGCGTTGCGGTGGGCTCACCCCCGACGGCGCCACCGATGCCACCGCCAGATCCCGCCGGGGTGCTTCCTCTGCACCGACGGGATGGGTCGGGAGCCGACGATCAAGGGCGGCGCCGCACGGCACCACGACGGCCAGGAGCGACGGCCATATGTCGGCCTCTCGTCAGAGCCCCAGATCGGGGGCGGCTCGTGGAGCTTCTCACTCCACATCAGTTGTGAGTTGGAGCGAGAGTCGTTCAGCTCGGTATCACCGATGCCAGTTGGGCTCGCGTCCAGGTCGGCAGCATCGTGCCGACTTGGAACGCACTGGCTCATGTGGGGACCATCACTGTCTCCACCTTTCAGCCCATAGTCAAAACTAGTATCGATGGCTCTCAGCCCATCAGCCTCCAACTGATCCCGTAGGACGACCTGATGCACGTCATCAGCCGCTACGAGGACGTCAACCTCACCGCCCCGGAAATCATCAGCCGTCTGGATCTCAGACGGCAACCGAGGTGGCTGAGCAGTTGGGAGCGATGAGCACAGCACGTCTGTGCTCTTCATGTCAAGTTTGACTGACGGGCTTTCGAAACGACTTTCAATATCAACCTCATCTCGATCATAGGCGCAAGGCTGCTTGGTTCTCTCATGGAACCCGATACAGGCAAATGTGTCGGAGCCCTTCTCAGGTAGTCCCAGCTCCTGAGCCAGGGAGCTCCTGACATAGGAGGCGTCACATCCTCCATCAAGGAAGTCACATGCCGGCGTGCGGCCATTGGGACCTGCTGCCACAACAGCAGCGGTTTGCAAGAAGCTCTTTCCTGTAGAGCTGACATTATATCGGTGACGGCTGGGCAGCTCAACACCGTGCGTCTCAGCCTCTGCACAAGTACCCGGAGCAGGAGGCTCAGGAGGCTGGAGTGGTTCAGCATCAGGGCTCAACTCAGAAACTGCTGAGGATGAACGCTGCGTTCCAAACTCCGCATCATGCAGCAGCGAGTGATGCTGGCGGCCACGCTCAGCACACGGACTGCCCAGACATTCCCTGACCAGGTGTTCAGAGTCGAGGTCTCTGGTGGTCACCGAGAACGTTGCTGGTGGGTCAACAGCAGAGTATTCACTATTCGGGCCCCTAGCAAGCTCTCTGATCCGAATTTCCTCCTTCAAAAACACCAGGAAGTCATCAAAGTGGTGACTCGATCGCCGGGCCCACTCCAGACGCCAGTCTTCCGGGATATTGCCCTTCACCATGGGCAGCAGCAGGCTGGATAGGCTCTCTGAGGAGACACCCAGAGTGCTGAGAGCTCTCGTGTGCGCAGACAGGTGATCTATGAAGGATCGCATGGCCTTCAAGTCACCGTGGCGGACTGATGACATGTTCATCAGCTCCTTCAAGAGAGTCTCCCGTCGCACATTCTCGAGGTCAAATCGCGCTTTCAGAGCTGACACCGCCTGCACATACCCGTCACCCGTGACTGGGATGCCCTGAATGGCCCTTAATGCCGCTCCGGCAAGATGCGACTTGAGGACCACGAATTTCTGAACGTTGGCATAGCCAGGGGTGTCGTGAACAGAGATCATAAACAGTTCCCAGAACTCGGGCCATCTCATCACATCACCATCGAATGTGGGAATCGCCACGGTGAGTGCTGCTTTCAAATTGGCACTACCAACCGTGTTAAGTGACTCAGAGGCCCTGGATTGAGCTTCTGCAGCTCTCTCGAGACGAGCCAGGAGGCGGGAACCGAGGAAGGCCTCATCCTCTAGAGTCTGAACATGATTCGTCTCATCGGCTTGACCCTGTTTGTCCAGCTGGACCTGCAAGCCCTGCAACTCAATTTGGATCTTCTCCACATGGTGGAGTTTTAGGGCAAGTTGGTCCGGGTCTAGCGCTTTCCGATCTCCCTCCCTGTAGGCTCGGAGATCGTTGCACGCTTTAGTAGCCTTTGTGCGCAGACGCGACCTAGCAGCCAGTAGCTCCTCCATGTTTGAGTGAAATGGGAACTAAATCAAAGTACAAAGTGGACTGTATGTTCAAAAACAAACTATCAATTTACCCAGTGGACTTAACAAAATTTAACAAAATTTAATACCGGTAGCCTTGGGGACTGTGTCCTCCACTGAATAAATGATCCGGCCCCGGTGGACTATGTTGCGATTCCAAGTCGAATGTGTAGCGAATGAAACCCAAAAAAAGTTATAAATACACCAAGCGGATGTATTTTAATCAAAGTCCGGGCAAACCCAGCTCTAAACACCGGAGAAAACAGTGACCCTGCCGTCCGCGCTTCAGGGGTCGCCAATCGCACTAAACAGATGCGGCCACAGTGCCGACTCGATCCTTAAATGGGTACAAGTAAATACTCGAGATAGGCTCGAGCGCTACCCCGCAATTACCAACCCTTTAATAGGCTCACAGCCGTATAATTATGAGCGCCCGTACTTGGCACGCTAAATGGTTAATTTCAATACAGCACCATTAATAGCAGCAGACGATCAGCCCACAGACGTTCACGTTTTAACTGCCGCATTAATGGCGCTGTGTTTTGGTGGTCGGGACAAAATGGGTGTGGGGTGGAGGCTAGCCGACAGACGTAGTCTCCAATTTAGATTCTCGAATGCATATGCGCCGCGGGGAACGCCGACAGACTGCCCACAGACGAGCCTGCCAACGCCCCGCAAACGGATATAGACTCGAGAGCCCAACACACCCAGCCGCAGCAAGGACTGTTGCGCGACTGCCCTCCGCCGGCACGACACGACCCGACATCGCCTCACCACTCGTGGTCAGCCGCCGACCAATCAGCACACGCAGGGCCGCGGCAATCGGCGGCGCCCTGACAAGTTAGGCTGTACCGCAATGCGGCGGCCCGCCGCGGCGGCCGGGCGGCGCGCAGGAGCGATAACCGGGGCCCAGCCGTTAACACAAGTTACAAACTAAAAGCAAACTAAGATACACTTTAAAGTTACATGAAAAATATTAATTCATTATGCAAACTTAACACCGGGACCGCTGAGACTATAGGGGATGAGCTAGGTGACCGCTGGGACCACAGGAGGTGAGGGGGGGGGATTAGGGGATTATTAGATTACTGGGGTGGGAAGGGAACACTGCGGCCACTGAAGGTGAGTGAGGAAATGCTACAATCTTTGGGGTTTGAACTTTGAAGGTCTGCTGTGTTCACTAAAGATAAAGGAGATTCTGGCTGTGGTCACATGAAAATAGAGAAAGTCCGCTGCACTAGCTGTGATATCGGGGAATAAGGGGGAACTCGCTGAGGTTACATCGGGTTAGAGAGGATTGGCTGTGCTCCGACGTGATGGCTATCCGGCGTACCGGGCTTACTTGTGATAGGCGATAGCTCACCTGATCCAGTCATTTTTTAAGCAAAATGACATGCTACCTTTTCGTCAAAATTGTCCCGGCTGTTTCGAGATTGATGGGAGGAGAGGAGGGCTTGTGTCCCCCGGCCGCCCTCCTACGGACCTCCCCGCACTAATTGCGCCGTAGTTTCAGTCAAAATTGCGCCTCATTTTGGGCGCATGCACTGAGTGATTCATCGTGAACAGTTGCAGCAGCTGCAGCATGTCTGATTCATAAAATTGCCGTTGAACACAGCCGGTATTATGCGGGAAACCCCCGTCCCCGTCCCCGCCCGTTCTGGAGTAATAACGCTGTCTGGTGGGAAGATACGACATTCCTGCATCTCATTACTGGCTGCTCGAGAGTAGCTGCTAGCAACGGACTTTGTCTTCAGCTTACTACTATTTAATATCTATCAGAGTCTGCGCAGCCTAAACCCCCAATAAACAAACAGATAAATACCATATCAGACCATTACCGTAGCATGCTATTGAAAATAATGACTTGCATTTTCGAATCGAACAATATTGTTACTGATTTAGGCGCCTCTTTCGGGAATTATTGGTGATGCGGACGAATAGAGGTCGCCTCGATCGGCGCTGACCGTCTGATTCAGTCGGTGCTGCCGAGAGACGGCGTCTGCGGGTTCGGATTGGTCGCCTCCGGCGGTCAGCTGACCGACGGCCGGGGGCGAGTGGCGGCCCGAAAGTTCGGGAATTGTGTTTGATGTGTGGTTGTTGCGTGATGGTTGCGGCGGTGTGCCGTGATTTTGCTGGTTTTGAGGGTTCTGGCCGGTGGACATTGGAGTTGTGATGTTTCAGTTTTGTCCATTACGATATAAACGGCCTGCAAGAATCCGAGCTGAGTTTTGGTGCTGAGTTCCGTGACAAATATTTATGAAATTGATCTACCGTGGTATTGCTCAGTCACAAGAACTATTTGTTCCACAGTCCTGATCGGTAGGTCCCACGCTCAAATCCGGGCAGCATCGCAGTATTTGACGCCCGTTCGTCCGTCAGGCGTTGGACACGTGCCGGCTGCTGTCGACGCGGCTGCTGCAGGAGCGGCTCGAGGCCGGCCTGTACGGCCTCTACCCGCGCTACAAGCTATACACGGCACCCCTGGCAGCACTGCTCGGATTGGTGGCCTCGGCGGCTGTCATCGGCGCCATTCAGAGAGACCGCGGGTCGCTCTCCGACAAACGTTAGTGTGGCGACGGAATAGGGAGAGGGGACTTCGAGCAAGGTTATACATATTTGGGCTCATCAGTCGGAAATGTTCTAGCTGGAACTGATATCTTTGTTTGTGGTGTCGGCCATGAGTGGTAGCCGGCAGGTGCAGTCTCTTTACCTTTTGTACACGTGTAAGATCATTGACTGTCACTGCTCCGTCCTGTCGCCGTTCGAAAGCTGTCTTGTTTGTTCGCCAGTCATGTCAGGAGCTGTAGCAATGTTGCCCTGTCTGTAAACATGTAATGTCTGGAGCAGATGTGGGTGATGCTGCGTTGTTCCATACGCTGGTGAAGTTCGACCTGTGGCTGGCAAATGACAATGTCTCTCGGACTGTTCTGTCTGTGTACCAGTGACTGAGTCGTAGCTGCTGCTGTCCTGTGTCTTTTCCAGTGTCGTCTATAAGCACAACTATTGCCCTACATCTGCCGGCAGTGACATCAAAGCTATGACTGACATTGTATGTTATACTGTCCCTGCCCCGTGTATTCGCCAGTTATGTCTTAGCCGTCCCCGCCCTGCCCTTCCCTCAGTGATGTCGGAGCTGTGGTTCATGCTGCGCGACACCTTCTGTCCGTGGCTGTGGCCGCTGCCGCTGTCCGACGGCCGGGTGCGCCAGCAGTGCGCCGGCTGGCTGCAGCAATTGGCCGCCGACCGGCAGCACCTGGCCGCCTGGATCCCTGGCGATGGGCCGCACGCGCAGATGATGCTCGATATGTTCCTGCACTGCGTGCTGCTGCTGCATAACACTCTGCCCGGTGAGTGAACGTTTCAGTGGTAGACGGACGGAGCGAGATACGAGATATTCGATGTCGTTTCGGTATCTGTCGGGCTGGCTCACTACATCTCAGATTTGGCTGTGACCCGAACCCCGTGTTATACCTTGCAACGTGGTTCGTTATGAATGACAATGCTCACGGTGACTTTCATTTGTGAAAGGCTAAGTTTTTGACAAGGAAGTAGCGCGTATGATTGCATCATTCGGTTAACACATCTGTAACTTAAGCGGTGGGAAAGAATCAGGTGGTTCGTCACTAATGCTCAAGTGTCGCCCTGTCGCGCACAATTAGCCAGGTGCAGAGTATCCTTCCTCTCACTTATTGTACGACTAGAACACGCGACTAGCAACGCGACAAATACCTCCACATACCCGTGTGTGTCTCCACTAATCTCCCCCTGCCTCTCTTCCAGCTGGCCGTCCGGCGCTATCCCACCTATGGGAGCACTACTGCTCGGTGGTGGCGGTGCCGTCGGTACAGGAGCACGTGCGCGCCCTGGTGCAGGCCGAGCTGCTGACACTGCCCTGGGACCGGCTGGCGCCTCAGCTGCACGACACGGAGCGGATCGCCCAGCTGCTGGATGTGTACCTGCCCGAGGCACACTCGTTCACCGCGCAGGTGAGGTGACCTGGGTTGGGAACGGGGGAAGGGCGATTATGGGTGCGGAGTTTAGGTTTAGGGGGACATGGGGTTGAACTGATGGATGCTGAAATGCATTAGCTTGCGACTGAACTCTGGTCTTCGCGGGGAAAAGTCTCGGGAAGTTTTGTTTTCTTCACGGGGACGGTTTTCATTCTGTCAGTTCCTTGTTGGCACAGTACGCTTACGCCTTTAACTGCATAATTGCGTCCGGTATACCTAATTATTCCCTGACATGTTACGATATGTCCGTGCCATATGTGGATTAAGTCACCCTACCATCTGGTGTAACCGTGCGTAACCCATCGCTTTGTTCCAGGTCGTAGTGCAGCTACCTTGGAAGGAGGTCGTTGAGGCGTACGACCGCGAGAGTCCCACCGGGAGCGTACGACTGCACGCCTGTCTCTTCAACATACTCATCAAAGTGTCCTTCGAGCCGAAAATACGACAGGTGAGGCTGCCACCCGGTTATATGCACGGCAATTATATGTGCTTGATAGTCACCGGGTACATGCATACGCGACACGCTCGTTTGTTTGTAATTTATTCCAAGTGGCGAGTAGGCGCATCGGGAGACAATAATATTGCTGGAGCACAGATAACATGAATCATGTTTTGATGTTGTCTGTGACTATGTTATCTATGACCAATCTATGAAGAGCCAGATTCATAGATTGTTTTCTATGACTGTCAGTTGTCAGTTTTCTATGACTGGTGGGGGTTATATAATGATAGTTTGATTATGATAGGACAAAATATGTTCCCATTGCATATTAATACTACATTATAATATTTTGTAATAACTTGATTACGCCTTCTAGCTGCAATGCATATGTGTTGTCAGAGCTGAACGACTTCAAGGCATTATTAGCGTTTTGATTTATTATGCGCCATTCTACTGTTATGCAGTTTAAACATATCAACATTTGCGCCCGATATCTAATTCACGTGGTTGCCTTGTTCATCATATAGGTTCCTCCTATTACGTTAAGCAGATTTTACAAGGAAGTTTAAATGCTCTAGGAGACGTGAGACAGTTATTCCCACCGCCATTTGGGTGTATGTTTTTGTACCCACTGCTCTCACCCTTCCTGTTTCCGTCTTTCTGCCAGTCGGGCGCCCTCTTTCTGCTGCTGAGTTTGTTTATAATTCTGCACCTACTATAAAGGTACCGTCCTCACAGTTCTCCCCGTTCCCCGTGTTTCTGCCAGTCGGGCGCCCTGTTCCTGCTGCTGAGTTTGTTTATAACTACCGCACCCATTATAAAGGTACCGTCCTCACAGTTCTCCCCGTTCCCCGTGTTTCTGCCAGTCGGGCGCCCTGTTTCTGCTGCTGAGTCGAGCCGAGGCGTTCAGCTGGCACCTGCTCGACGCGGCCACCTACCAGCGCGTGCTCGGCTGGTACATCATGTCCTGTGACCCGGCCTCGGTGCTGGAGACAGAGGCCCGAGAACCCGTCGACGTGGCGCTCATGGGGTGAGTACCAGGCGGGCTGACGGTTGCATGGTTCTCATGACGGTTCAGTGCATTGTGGGTCGAGGCTGGCTAGGCTATTGGGTGTTCATGGGTGACTGCGACTGGGTAACTAGAGACTAGAGGGCATGTGCTGGGTCGGGATCTCCAGTAATGTGCCTGACGGAACCGCTACTGTACTGGGTCATGGGGTGATACGATGGATGGCCGTCGAGCTGAGACGGCCACTGCTTTTGGTAGCTCCAAGGCTCAGACGTCAGCGCAGTGGTAATTAATCGCAAGGAACGGACCAAGGAGCTGCGCAGCTATCGATCACTCCGGGGAACTTATTTTCATTTAGTTCTTCCACGTATAGGTATCCGGCCATTGGGGTTTGTAGAGCTCGAACTCGGAACAAAGGATTCTGGGCACTGGGTAGGTATGTATAATTGTAGTTACTGGGTACTGGATAGATGACGAGGAGGTCGTTATACTGGACTGAACGCCGGTGTTTGTTTTCAGCTGCATGTGAAACCAACTTACAATTATGATAGACATTGTTCAGGTACATTTATTATTTACCGCGTCTCTCTTAACTTCCACCAGCTAACGATCAGTTGTGATTATGCGTTGAGTTACACTTTGAATTCTATGAGTGCATTTCACTTGTGCCGACATAGGCCTCTTCCCGTTCTACTATTATTGTGACAGGACTTAACTTTAAAAAACGTTAATTGGGTTAAACGTCACCTTTGCTTTGTGTGCCCTACGCGGGATACGAACTTGAAGCTTCCTTTAAACTTATTTCGAACACTGGGTCCAGATCTTCCACCCGAATTTCTCTGTAAATACGGCTACAAGCGCATAATCAGACCCGAAACGTTTAACGTGGATGATGTAAACAAGAAATGCATAGCATGTTGATGGAATATGCAACCAATTCCCATAGCAAGCCGGTTTACTAAGGACGGTATGACGTTCCAACGCTGAAGGCACGTTCCGATAATCCACACGGTGGACATATGTATAAATTGAACCGGCCGTTGTGTTACTGGCTGCTCAGAAAGATGCCACTGGCCTTCTTCAGCGCCGATGTGTTTGGATCCCCGGCACTTTGAGGTGGTCAATGGTGCTCATTAGGTCAGATTGATCAAAATTCAAAACCCATTGATATGGTGTCCAGTCACAGTGACAGCTGCTTCGATCCCTTGTCCATTCCGTGACAGTGGCTGCTAGCCATCGTCGTCCCAATGCGTCTTCGAGGGGCCGTCCAGTCGCGTGACGGTAGCTCCATGGGGCCCGTTCAGTCGCGTGACGGCGGCTCCATGGGGCCGTCACGGCGTGAGCTGAGCACCGCCGTTTGTGACGCCATTCTCCCTGGGAGACGGGCGGTGTTTCGTCAACACATGGCCAGTCTATCGGACACTGCACGCCAACCATTTGTCACGGCGCAGTTCCTCCCTCCGCCCCTTTTCCGGTCCGTTATGAAACCCATATGATGCGTATACATGCACAATCAATGCGAGAGGTTCGGTCATACACCTGGTGAGTGAGCCCAGTATTGCGTTATTCATGCACCTATGACCGGCTTTATGCGGTTTTGTATGCTTGTGTGCGAGCTGACACTGGTTGTGAATAGCGGCGCCGGCGCCTACCGTTCGTCCTTGCTCGTGACGATGAGTGTTTTCGAGTTCTTCCGTCGAAGGACGGCCTTGACGAGTAGGTGGAAAAGGCCGGCAATGGCGACGACCACCGCGGCCGCCACCACGCCGCTCACCACGGCTGTGCAGGGAGCGGACGACATGGGTTAGACTCAGAGAGTGGCGGTCATTGGTTATAGTTCGGACAGTGACTGAAGGACTTAGTTTATACACTTAAGCAGACACGGAAAGGGCTATATTACAGACAGCGCTCGTCAAGACCAAAGTCAACGTACAGAGTTGTAGGGGACAGAAAACGGTCCAATAAAAGTTTGCATCAAGTGAGCGATTCATTACGTGTCATTCCTGGCACATTATTCGCAAGTGTCATGCATTTATTTGAAATAATGAAGAATGGCTGGCCAACGCTAGCTGCACAAAGGGACCAGATTCATTGATTGCCGTCTGTCGGGCCAGTGACCATGTTTTATTGTCTATTGTGTATCGAATATGTGCAGGTCTGGCCGAGCATGGCTCACCTGTGGTCATGGAGCGCTCCTTGAATGTAGTGAACGAGAAACACTTTCCGTCTCCAACGGGCTCCTGTTGGGGGTCTCTGGCGCTGCCGCAGGCCCTGAAAATCACCCTAGACCCTGTCATACCTGCTGCTAATGTCCAGGAAGCCAGCACACAGCAGCTGAATAGCCCCGTGTCAAGGCTAGGGCTTTGACCACCCGACATATTTTCGTAGCTCGCTTTAGCCGTGATTAAGTGGAACAGAATGACCTTAGCAGTTGACGCCTTCAAAACACCGATAAACGAACATTGAGTCGGTGTTAACGGTCACCTTGCTTTTGACTTCATTTGATGGGGTGATGTAGTTTGCCGGTGTATTTTCATCTTAGCTTAAAAATGGTTGTGCGAAGTTTTGACAGAGTGAGTATCGGTGAGTAGTTATCAGTGGTCTTTATTGGAGACGATGCATCGCCATTGCTTTTGGTGCTGAAGTTTGCAAAGATGTGCAAGAAGTTGGTCACTTACCCCGCTTACTTCAGAACGTATTTCATTCTGGGCACTAAGGTAATGGCCAATGTTAAAATGGACTAAAATGAAGCTTTGAAGTGCAGCCTCATGAGACCGCCCCACCTTTACATTTAAACGCTGACCTCAGGTGGCTCTGTGCTTCTTTTGTTAGCACATTTCACATTTCTGATACGAGACGCCATTGAATCATATGTCCACAAAGCCTGAGGGGCTGTTAAAATGCCATGTTCATTAAAGGTAGTGTGCCAGCTTTCTTGGACCGTATGGAGTTAATGGCCCAGATAAGGAGAACCGGATTTTTAGAACTTATCCATACCTTCAAAACTCATGGAAACGTCTTAAATTCTTCAAATTTTGAGTACCCCAGTGCGAAATTCGCCCCGACGGGTTGTCGGTCGTACCCCAACCACATTTCACACCACTATGAACAATAAATGCACACACTGAAATCGCTATTACCGATATGCTCATCCAATCAAGTTTCGATAAACCCGTTCATCATCATCTCCTGCGGTTTCGAACACGCCTGTTAGGTGGCTTGTGATGCTCGTCGAGGTCGGAATTTCCAAATACGCGTGGTGCGTCGGGCCGCGCGCTCTGACTTCGGCCAAAAAAAATGCGTCAGCTGATCATTGTCATTTCTGCCACTTGCGTGTGGTGAAATGGGGTCATAACTTATAAGACGGCTTTTTCATATCAATTATTTTACATAAAATCATATTTCAAACCATAAATAATGTTCGACAGCCAAATAAAAGAAACAATACAATACGGGCTTACAGTTTAAGGCTCGACATTGTGTTGTCTACGATTAGACAGCTGATAACTCATTCCCGTACGTCGTATGGTCGTAACACTATAATGACCTTTGCTTATTGTCACAAGTGCGCCGCATTCGCGATTGTTGCCCGACGCCTGTTTGCAGGTGAGCCCACTACAGTTGTTATACATATCTAAAAACCGAAAAACTTTTAGGCGAAAAAGGCACTATTCCAGGCCCATTTTTGATTTTTTTGCGATATTAGGTAAAAACAGAAGCTTCTTATCCTAGGAAAAATAAAATGGGAAATCTTTCAAAGGTGGCACACTACCTTTAAGGCACTTCTGATGCCTTAAAAACATCTTTTGCTGGTGCCTTAGAGCACAAAAAATCTCGAGATCGACGATTATACGTTGCATACATGTGATGTTTACTCGACGGGTTTGACAACTATAATTACGAAACATTAAACTGTTTTGCCGCCATAAAATTACTTTATTAGCATCATAAAGTTGCACATGTGGAATGTAATGGAAAGGAGTGCGATATCAAAATGTTTTGGGTCATTCCTGCATTCCACAGCAGGAATTGCTGCTGAATAAACACCGGGTTGTGACGGTCGGCATTCCGCCTGGCTACACCGAGCGCCGTCCGCGGGAGTACATTCTACAGAATCCGTACATTTCAGCTCCGTACTTGTACCTGTGCTACGTGCTGTTCAGCTATTTACCTACCTGTATTCGGAGCCGGTGTGTAGGTCTGTAAACAACAGCGCCTTCTGCTCTGAGCTGATGCTGGGGTCCAGGGTCACATTCTGCTGTTCATAGTGCGAACTGTCCTCCCACTTAGAGAGCGTCACCACGACATGTGGGAGAGGGAGGCGTGCGGGTCAGTTAGGGAGAGTCACGGGGGAGGGGAATGCGCTGATCAGTATGTGAGAGCCACCACGAACTGAGGAAGATGAAAGCGTGGGTCGGCAAGGGAGAGGAAGGAGACGTATTGTCATTAGGTATCTGTCGCTGGTGGTTGAGTTAGGATTGGGATTGATTGTGGAACGGGGCGGTACTGCAAGACGCACAGCTTGGCGAGGCTCAGCTTGTTTAGTTCAGTGCTCCATCACTAAAGCACCAATATGTGGTTATATTTGATACCACGTCTGTCCCGTGGCTCAGTTGGTAGAGCGTTTGACTCCCTTTGGTGAGAGCCCGTTTTCGAGTCGCTCATCTTTCTCTCGTTACCCGGTATTGCCCTAGGGGTTGGGGCCTACCTACAAGCTCACTTTAGCGTGGGGTTGGGCTTTGTCAGTCCGTGTATTCAATTATTGGAGCTAAATTTGTTGGAGAAAATGTCGAGAAAACAATAAAGTAATATTCCCCTCGATGATGCAACTGTTTGACGCAAGGCATACCCGAGATACTGGCGCTCAGTGTGCTCAAAGTCTAAAAAAAAAAAATGGTTCATTGTATCTACTATGTCATGTGTACTAATTCAAATGAGATGCACCCGTGCGTGAAATTTGTCCGGACTATTAGTCTATATAAAATGCATCCTCTTTAATGCGAGGCAGGTGGTTCGTACAAAGTGCAACGAAAGCTCGTGGTCCGAGCTGGTCCGAGCCTACATGCAGCCCAATCCCAGACCCATGTTGATAGCGGAGCCCAAACCCATGGGCTGTGAGACCTGTGCCTACCGTGACACTGCCGTGGGGGGATGGGGGGAGGCGGCATTATTTGCGCACCTCTATCGTCACAATGAACTGACGTAAAACTGGGTTAATTGAATGTTATGCTGTTCCTATGATCGATTAATTTGGCGGACAGTAATTAGTCTCTACGGACCACGCTGGCGGCAATGGTATCGACTCAGACACGGTGTTTCTTGGATATAGGGCTGCCGTCGTGATTGGAAAAATAATAATCGTGACGAATGACCGAAAAATGACTACGGCTGTTACCGCCGTGGAATTTTCGCCTGCACTGATATAAAACAATTGAGCTATTCATTCCATACACCTACATGTAGGCCGTCAGAATGAAGTTAATAAAATGGGAGTTCGTCATGCAAGTTAACAACAAAGTAGCGATCTGCCAATGTTACTCACGCAACATGGCCATTGCATTCAGCCTAAAGTATAATATGTTCCGATCAAGGAAATGAAATAGTATACAATTCCACATGGACACGCACGCCTTTGATTCCGGCCATGAAGAGGACAGTGGACACTGCAGGTTTGGTCCGGCGCTCCGGCAGGATTGGTCCCATCTGGTCCAGCCCTGGAGGTAGTTTTGGTCCAGTTCGTTGGTTCGGTAGTTTCGGTCCGGTCCGGTCTGCGACCTCACCTGACTGGCACTGGAGTTAGTTTTCACCACCAGCAGCCTGGCCTCGTCACTGGTCACATGTCCCAGCTGTAGGCGCACCTCCGGCCCGTTCACGGCTCCGGCCACCCCCAGTCCCAGCACGGCGAGCGCCGCACACCTCCAGTACCCGCACCCCAACATATCTGCGAGATGACTGCCGCCGCGTCGGGCCGGGCCGGCTCGTCGCGGGTAGCCCGCCGTCGGCAGAGGCGAGTGCACGGCGGCTCGTCCGGCGGTGACGCAGCCGCGCCGCTGTGGCCGCCGTCCGCCTAGTCACGGCTCGCGGCGCTGGCACGGCGGCCGCGCTGGTCTGCCTGGCTCCTGGCCAGCGGCTGTGCCGGGCCCGGCATGCGCCTCTGCATGCGCTGACCTTGGCTGGTGGGACGTGATCGGGCCTCGAACAACTCCCCGGTCCGCTCGGACAGCAGGCAATGCGGACGACCGCTCGCGGATGGAATATATTGTAAGGCGCTGGTGTGGAGATGGACGAGGTGGAAACGGAAAGAGAACGAACATAACAACATTGAAAGGGACTGGACAGCGTCAGGCGACGGTATACATCGGGATGGAATAGGACAGGATGCTCAACTGGATGACATGACGAAGTGGAGAGGACTGGACAGCCCTTGAATGTTCTCATTCAGACTTTTTGATGAATTCTGATACTACCTTGGTTCATATTAAATTCTGATAGCTGTTCCCCTTCTCATATATTTGTAACGTTAGCTTCGTTAAGTTCTGCCACGTTTTCCGTGCCTTCGTTTTGTTAGTTATTTCACATAAACCATAGTGCTGCAAATGAGATTGGGCAAATTAAAATTCAGACGAACCACCATGGTTTTGATCCAGTGTCTCGACTCTCAGTTCTGGATAACCCATAAAAGGTTTGCTGTGATAGGAATTCCGATGACAATTTGCCAAAATTTTCGCTTATGAGAGATTTAAATACACCCGTCTTTACTCCCGCCTCGTCCCCTCCTCCGGCTGACCTGTCTGTCTATCTGTTCCGACAGATTCCTGCAGGTGGCGGCTGGTCACGTGGCCTCTGCCGAGCGACTGCATCCGGAGACGGCCAAGAAGCGTGCTGCCTACACCTCCGGCCTGGTGCGCATGCTGGCCAACGTGGCGGCCACCAACAAGGCGCTAGTGAACTCTCAGAGACACGGCTTCACGCGGACGCTGCTGAGACTGCTGCGGGAGACGGAGGCCATCGTCGGCCGCAGTGAGTGCGCGGGTAGTGACGTCAGAGTGGCGTCATCGACAGAATGTGTGTACCTAGTCGTCGGCGACTCAAGTGAAAACATAATATGTATGTAGTAGGTAGTCGTTTACACACTGATTTATCGAGCATTGCCTTTTGAGAAGTGAACACTGGCTCTGTCAGGGGTTTAACACCATCAAGCAACCGTTGTATGACTCGTGCCCAAGCACAGATGTCTGTGTAATTTGGTCCTATCCAATTACCAGCTCTCGGCTGTGCTGCTGTCCAGTACCGTCGCTCACTCTGCACCGCTGTCCGTGTCCCCAGTGTCTCCCGACGAGGGGTTCCGAGAGGCGGCGCCTCTGATGCGCGAGCTCCTGCAGTGTGTCGGCTCGCGCACTCCGCCTCCTCTCCAGGACCTCTGCGCCGAGCGGCTCGTCAAATGGGTAAGCGACCACGTCACTGAGAGAATGGAAGGTGGGTGCACTTTGATATGAAGACTGGGCGTTTGTTCAAAATGCTGCTCGTAGACTAACCCAGCCGCAAATGATCAAGACCAGAATAGCGTCCGCTATTATGATTCCATAGTATTGATCCTTTATCGGTTTTGTTTCAAGTATGACAAGTCTCCAAATGATGCATGTGTGTATGGCCGTACTGATGCATTTGACTCTGTCAGGTGTCGGAGGAGAGCGGCTGCGTACTGCTCTGTCCCATGCTCAGGGTATCGGGGACCATCGTACACGACATGCGCCATCTTTCCAACTTTTGGGAGGCCATCATTACGTCACTCTTCGCCAGGGGTGAGTAAAAGCTAACTAATACCAGCCTCAGCCAAAGGTGGTAGGGCTCGTCAGTTCCCTTAAAATCAAAAGTGTTAACGTGACAATGAACTATTCATTGCCGAGACAGGATGTGAATTGCTGCTGTGTGTCGTAACTCAGTTCACGATCGTTCTTGCAATAATAACCTTTAAAGAATTGATTTTAGACTATAACGGTGATTGCATGGGGCAGTGCATGAATGGGCGAACCTCAATGTGCTGCTGTTATTCGTTAGCAGCACATACTGTGTTACCAATTTTTGTTTTGTCATCTGTTGTACCCTACTTCAGAATGTATGAGTGCAGGTGAACTATGTATGTCACCATTCTGTATTCAACACACGTCACCCATGTGTGATCCCGACAGTGACCGGTGACCTTCAGTTAACTGTGACCTCTCCAGTGACCCATGCCCCTCCCGTTCGCCAGAGTCGGGAGCCGAGTGGCCGGACCTGTGGCCGGTGACCCCTCCAGTGATCTGTGACTTGTAACCAATCAAGTGACCGGCGCCCTTCCGTTCGCCAGAGTCGGGAGCCGATTGGCCGGAATTGTGACCGGTGACCCCTCCACTGATCTGTGACCTGTAACCCCTCCAGCCAGTGACCCGCGCCGTCCCGTTCGCCAGAGTCGGGAGCCGAGTGGCCGGACCTGTGTCGACTGGCCGAGTTCCCCGATCAGTCCGTGTCTCGGCTGCTGTCGACCAGTGTGGCGTCCGGTAACCTGCTGGTGGTACACCTGTACCTGCTGCAGCGCCGGGACGCCGACGCCGAGCCGGCGCCGCTGGCAGCCGCCGCCGCCGGCTGGGTGACCGAGGTCACCGCGCTAAGGTCAGTGGGGGCGGGTGGCACGCGCGCTGCCGTACACGACACAGGGAGATATGTCAGCGGATACTGTACCGCCCAGCACGCTGGCGCGCACACACACAGTGGCGCACCCCGCAGGCTCTTGGTCGCACATACGCACAGTGGTGAGCCCCGTACGCCCGCGCACATACGCACACCTGATGCACTGGTGCAAGTATTGCCTCACTGACACTAGCACGCAAAGACACTATCGCGTACAGACAATGGCGCACACACGCACACGCATTATGCGTGGACAGCATGAAGACGGGGTATGATAACGGCATAAACGCATATGGAGTGTACTGTCACGGCTGATTTGTTGCAAATGTATAATGGAACAATCGTAGGGAGAATGAGGCGCTCCTCAATGTTGCGCCGTCTGTTTTGGGATGTTCTGATAATTTGTTTGGTTATGTTATCCCGCGCACCGACGGGGGGGGCGGATATCCGCCCCCCCTGAGGAATTTCGCGAATAGCGGGAAGCGCCGCGAAATTTGGTACGACTATTCCCTTATCAATTTTACACATGGTGTGCAAGTTTGAACTTCCTACCTTTCAAGGTCAGGTCACCAGGTCACTTTGAATGACCCAACCTCAAGTCACTTTTTTGCAACTTTGTCACGTGCCAGAGCTACAGTAGATGTCAGAGGCCTTTGAAAGTCGCAGGATGTTATAAGGTCATTAGTAGCTACAATTTGTATATCTTTTTCAATTCAATTCAATTCAATGTGTATTCGCGATAGATCCACGCAAACTGGTGGCTTTTCGCCATCGTACGTAGTAAAAATAAAACAGTGATAAAAGGTAAACATACAGTAGCATCCATCCAAAGCACAGATACACAAACAAAAACGTAAGGCAGGTGACAGTATACCCATTATCCATATAGGGCGCACAGGTAATCACAGCACTCGCCAACAAACCTCCCGGCTCCAGCTCTCGTCACGTTTCGACGGCACGCAGGTGGCGCTTTGCAGCAGTCTTGAATGAGGTTCCTGCAGGCTTCGGTACCTCATTATACAATTTCACACCGCTGAAACACAAGCGCTTGCGACCAGTCTCGGTACGAATACGTGGCACAGTCAGGAGGTCAGCAGACCGTGTGTCGTGATCGTGCTGGCGGCGAGCAGGAGCACCGATAGTCTGCGCTAATGGCGGCGGAACGAGGCATGACAAGAGTCGGTGAATGACAAGAACTCGATGATAGGAAATGAGCTCGTCTGCTTTGAACCAACCCAGCGATCGAACCACGTCCGAAATATGGTCGGTCTTCCGACGTCCAGACACAACACGCGCAGCGAAGTTAATCAACTTTTGAATTCGGTGGACCTGCGGTGGATCTCGGAATTTTGATGTCGGTGACCTAAGGTCAGGTCAATTTCGCGACCTCCCCATTATAAGTCAATGGAGGAAAAATCAACTCCCTGTTTTTACCACTAAAACGGGTCGGAATGACCCCATATACCATACATGACTTCATATACGATCAACCTTCACTACCTTGAGGTCTGTTTTGCTGTTGGGTAGCTGTGAGGTCATGTGACGTCATCAAAGGTCACCAAAGGTTTTTGGCCAATAACTCCGTACAGGAACAAGATACAGACGCGTGGATGGTCTCATTGTGTTCAGCTCGTCAAGACGCATCGAATGATATACATGATGACCTCGAGGTCACGTGACCTGAGGTCAACCTTTGACCTTGACCTTTCGAGGTCAACATATATATCATTCGATGCGGATTGACGAGAGATCACGATGATGCCCTTAGTTTGTTCCTATCTTGACTAATTCGAAAGTTATTCGAGAAAAACTCTCCATATCTAGCGCCGCCATTTTGACTTTTTCGACCCCTGTGACGTCATCTTTGACCTGACCTGAAAATGACCTTAGTAAAAATTGTAGATCTTGACCGTGCGTATCCGATGCCGTTTACCGCTTGTCGCTATCTTGCTTCGTTCTCGAGATCTCAGGGGGGGCGGTCATCCGCCCCCCCCCCCCCGTCGGTGCGAAGTTGGCGCAGACCCCCGTCGGTGCGCGGGTTATAACTGATGTCAGCGATAGTGAAGGTGACGGCTTGGAGTGGCTTTGAGGCGTTGAGCTACCCCGGACAGGCTGTAATTAATGATTTATTACAACAATGCTGGCGTTAGTATATGTCGCCTGGCTTGGCAACTAACAAAACATTTCATATGAATTCCTTTAAGTGTACTTTTTACTTTACTTTTACTGTTTACCTCTAATACTTTTGGTTTGCGACAAATTATTTCTCTAATATTTGACACTTTTCAACTTTGGTCTGCTAAATACTTTCTATTTAGTGTTTCCGTAAAAAAATGTGTAAGCCTAAGAACAATCCAGTCTCCTAAATTTTAATTGTCTGTTTGGGTGGAAATTGAATCCAAATGAAAGTAACTTCTAACTCTTGTATCCGACTTTCCAAATAAATTTTCCATTCCCGATTTTACCGAGAATGAGCATCGGCGTGCATGGTCGTATTTCATCCCACATCCCACATGCTGCAGCGATTCGAATAACATGCAATGAAGCAAGCATACAAATAGCAGTTCCTAGCAGTCCCCGCCATTTATCGTGGCGGGCATGTTTTTTTTTTGTCGCCTCACCAAAGCTATCACGCACAAAAGTAATTGCTGGCTGATGTTTGCGAAGAAAACGACAGGGGATTATCGGATTAACAATAATAGCGTCGTAAATGTATGTGTGCTGCTTCTGAGTACCAGCAACTTGTACATGAGTGTATTCTCCATTTGAGGTCTGTGGTTGTTATGTGAAGCTATTATCGACATTGCTAACCGCACAGTGAGCGGGACATGTCTTTTTATAACACTGATCCTTCAATAAATCTCCGCGGTATCAGCATGCGAGTCAGCAAGGAAAATGTCTGGGCGAACCAGCACCCATGATGCAACGGAAGCACGACTCTTATCCCCTTGAAAGTTCAAATACGCCCCCTAACCTAAAATCACGAAGTGCACTAAGTTGAAATCAAGTTGAATTTCAACTTGAAAGTTGAAATCAGAAGGCGAAAACGATAAACCGGATAATGCAAACGACGCTTGCAGTTTCCTGTACTATGGAGATTGGAGAAGTTAGGAGAGTGGTCGGTAGAAGCCAGAAGGCTTAGTCTGATGGCCTGTGATGCGTCGAATGCTAGTCAAATGAGCCGTTAGCGAGTTTTGACGGGGTAATTTGCACTGTGGTTTGATTTTATACAGTCAATTGATTCAACGTGATGGAACTGATTCTGAGGTCAACGCACGTTGTTTGGGCACTAATGCATATTATATGGGAAACGTTTTTAGCCCACCTTCATCATTATACTTGATATAAGACCATTAAAGCTGGTCCCAAACTATAAAATATTTTGCCACTTGATGTAAGACCAGTCCGGTAGAGCTGGTACCAACCGATAAATTATTTCACAAATGCCCTTCATCATGTCATTTCGCGTTCACACAGGTTGTTTGTCACGTCGACAGTAAAGTTATGCGCCGCCCCCCGCACCTTGCCGTGTGTTGCTTTTGTCGTCCGGCCATGTAAGAATGGACCGGCGCCCGGGACATTAACTATCGGTAGACAGGCGATTTCTAGTCTCAGCGTGCAGGAATTTCTTGCCCGGTTCGGCTGGGACATGTAGCGTTTAAACAGGAAATTTGACTTATCCGCCTCATTCCGGTTTATTTTATGATTGCAAGTCTGTTCAGTTAGTAGATCAAGTACGCTATTCGTTTGTTCTACCTATAATTCACCATCACATTCGTAGGAAACCTTCATTCGCAGCACACATCCGCAGCCCGCTGACCTGTCCATCCTTCCCTCGCCAGGGAGGCAGCCGAGCCAAAGCTGTGCCTGCTGCTGCACCAGACCCTGTGGCTGTTGGAGCGTCTGGCGGACGCCGGTCGGCTGCCCGAGCTGTGCCGGCACGTGCGGACGGTGGCCGGCGCGCTGCTGCTCTGGGGCGAGGACCGCGACAACAGCGGCCTGCTGGGAGCCATCGGACTCGGCCGGCGCTCCACGCTGTCGCCGCAGTGAGTGGGGTAGTTGTTGGGGCGAATAAGGGAGTCAGACCTTATTTATTAGTCCGGCTGGACAGATCTGGCTATGAAATGTATGGAAGGGTCGGATAGAACAATCTAGCTGGTTGAACGAAACTGATGGATACAGTGGACGGGATGATGGCGTTTGGAACGGGTGTGGTTTGTGACGTCGACAATCACTTTCATGGGCGCAAAATGACCTTGTAGTCGGCGCGCCCTTAAGCCCCAATAAACAAACAAACAATCACTTTCCAGGGTATCCGATCCCACCGTCTGGCGGAGACGCCGACCCTCTGTGTCTGTCCCTGCCCCTTGTTTCGTTTCTGTATATCCGTCTCCGTCTATGGCCGTCGTTGTGTATTCCGAAACCGACTAACAGACGCCCGCCCCTGCGCGCCAGGTTCCGGCTGTTGTGCCGCGCACTGGCCGCCCTGCTGCTCTGTCAGCTGTGGACTGACGGCACTGTGACGCTGGAGCCGCGTCCCGCCGAGGCAGAGCCCACGGATCGGCTCTCCAGTGATAGCTCCTCGTCAGGCTCGGACAGCAAGTGGTGAGTGATGGTGGGAGTGAGGCAGGGGAGGGAGAGAGAGAGAGAGAGAGAGAGAGAGAGAGAGAGAGAGAGAGAGAGAGAGAGAGAGAGGGGGGGGGAGAGCGTCTTCAGGCAATGTGTGCTGACATACCGAGGCAGATGCCTGAGGACTGACTAGGAAGTCGCTTTTTAAATAGGCATAGCGATGATCCCAGTGTTACGATGCGTGCGGTTCTTGTCTTACTAACGAAACTATATGATATCGGCATATGGATGGATATCGGAATATCGGGATCCATCCGATTGATGACGGAGTGGACGACTCTGTGTCCTGCGTGCTCACGCATATTATCTCACGCTGTATCCGTCGGCAGGGGCCTGCCGCGCGGCCTCATTCCAGAGGCGTACGCCGCGTTCGAGCGTCTGACGGCGCTCCGCTCGCGGCGCGAGTACGCCGCCCACCTGCAGATCCTGGAGGAGGCCGTGGCCGACGTGCTGAGCACCACCACCACACTGCGCTCCTGCCGGAGAGTGCTGCGTGATGTGGTGCGCCGCACCTACCAGGAGCGCTGCCTGCACCAGCTGCTGTGACCAGAGCGCTGTCTGTAACAGCTGCTGTGACCGGGGCACTGTCTGCACCAGCTGCTCTGACTAGAGCGCTGTCTGTGACCAACTGCTGTGACCGGGGGCACTGTTTGCACCAGCTGTCTGCACGAATTTGCCTACACCCACTGTTGTGAAGCTGTCTTTGGCAGCGTTTCGTTATTTGATTCCCGAGTGGAATTTGCCAGTGTGAGAGATAGCCAATGGATCTCTACTGCCTGTGACCTGAGAGCTGAGTTGGTGAGAAAACGTTAGAGCCGGTGCGAGTTAGAACCCGGCCGAACCGAACCGGACCTACGGATGCCAGTTTTAACTGTGATAGTCCGGTCAGAGAGGCGGCGGGGACCCTTACGATTCTAGTCGGCCGACCATGGCTGCCGGATAGTGTTCTAATCAACACTACCTGGCCAGAGGGATCCAGGCCTTTATCGGATGATAGTGAGTGTGCTGCTGACAGTATGGGTAAATTCAACAATGCTTTCTACTGCACAACATGGTATATTGGCCGGTGAGCTTGATCAGTATTGTCTATGCAAGTGTATGCGCCAGAAACGCGGTGTGAATATATATATCTAAAATGATATGCTTATGGGGCTTAAAATGATATGATATGGGAGCAGCAGCGGCAGCGTGCTGTGGACACGTCGGAGCTGGCTGACCGGAGCGATCATCAGAGGTGCGTCTCTTCACTACTGGACTGCGCCCGGGAGTCGCCGGTTCGGCTGGTCCACCTGTCCCCGCCCCTTTTGGGAGTGGTGGCTGCGGGTGGTGCTGCCGGGCCGTCGGTTGGCGGCGCTGGGGGCGGCTCCCCGACGCTGGACAACGCGTCGGCTGATTCGGCGGGTCCCCTCAGACGGCGGGCGGAGACGTCCCCGCCCGAGTCGGGGGGCGGCCTGGGCCCGCCTATGGCGGTGACGTCAGCGTCCGGCTCCGGGCAGCTGGCTGCTGTGCCCGTGCTGAGATCCGGTGGACGGGCGGCGAGCGAGGTGAGTAGCCCGACTGCAGTGCTGCCACCTAGGGAGCGACCTGCGAGTGTAGAGGGGCTGCGGTCGCCGGAAGGTGGCACTGTTAGCGCAGTGACGCAGCGCGACCGGGCGAGTGACGGGTCGCCGTCGCAGGCGGGAGGGGACATGGGACTGACCAGTGTGGCGGGTGCAGCTGCTCCTCAGGAGGGGGCATACGTTGACAGGGACTCAAACTGGTCGGAGGGGGGTAGGAAGAGAAGGTCCAGGAGCTTCGGCTCCCGAGACATCAGAGAATACTTCTAGTGCACTGTCGTGTGTGTCCAACCATGAGGCAAATCAAAGTGTTTTTTTTTGTTTTGTTTTTTGTTTTTTGTTTTTTTTTTTCTTTCTATGAAGGTCATCTCAAGCGAACATATGAAGTTAACTTATACAGTACATCTCTTTTGTGTATTGCCTCGGCATACCCTGACGTGGCGTCGTCAACTCGTGCGAGAATACATCATGTGCTTGTTTTTACGTTTGGTACTGTTTTTGTTCAGTTTTGTTGTCTGTTCTCTCTCGGTTGTTCTCGCGTTGCCTCGCAGGAGCCGCGTGGCGGTGCAGTCGGTGGCCGGCCGGTGTTCGCTGGGGGACGGTGGCCGTCCGGCGCTGCTGGTGGCCGGGACTGCTGCGGCGCGGCTGGTGGCGGCGTTGGCTGTGGCGTCTGGTGGTGCGGCTTCTCCGGTGGCGGAGTCAGTCTCGGTGCTGTCGGCGGCCGGGTCCGTCTCGGCGGCGGTGGCTGCGTGGCTGGGGTCGGTGGCGGGGTCGGCGACGGCCATCCCTGGACAGTGCATGGGTCATATGCACCTCTATCCTTTCAAATTCAATCACCGTAAGCGACAAATCCGTAAAAAGAAAAGAAATAGACGAGCTTAAATTGTTATCATTAAACTGTAGGGGGCTGGGAGGAAGTGAAAAGAGACGAGACGTACTTAATTATCTTAAAACTTTGTGTTATGACATATATCTATTACAAGACACACACCTGATAGAAAACAAAGAGCCGTTCTTCAACAGTGTATGGGGAGGTAGTTGCTACCACTCATTTGGGACTTTCAATAGTCGAGGCACTTCTATCCTCATAAGTCCCCGAATTCAGCACGACCTTCTTCTACTCAAAAGGTGTCCAGAAGGGAACTACACCCTGTGTGTGCTAGAGTTGAAAGGCGCCACATATACAATACTAAATATTTACGGACCAAATGAAGACAGGCCAGAATTTTTCCATCAGGTCAGTGGTACATTGAGCCAAATTACATGTGAGAACCTTATCATTGGTGGCGACTTTAATTTTGTTATCGACTACCGGCGCGATTCGAATTACAATAGGCAGAATAATCCCGCAGCTCGGAACGCATTTGTCCAAATATTAGAAGAAGAAGCTTTGACGGATATTTGGCAAAAGATGAATCCCGGAAAACGAGCTTTCACGTGGACAAAATTAAATCCATATAAGTATGGGCGATTGGACATGATTTTTGTAAGCGACCATTTGGTAGATAGCGTTTCTTCAAGCGCTATTATCCCTGGATATCGCTCGGATCATAGCATTGTTACAGTGCAGATGAGGACACCCAGCAAGAAACGGGGGCCAGGAATTTGGAAATTTAATAACTCACTCCTTGTAGACGAGTCATATGATCAGGCCATCAAAGAGCTTATAACTAATACGGTAGAACAATATGCTGTTCCAGTTTACACAACAGAATTTGTAAGAGACCAAAACAATTTCTGCAAAATCGACTTCACCATAAGCAGCCATATCTTCTACGAGACATTGTTAATGATGATTCGTGGTGAGACTGTTAGATTCGCAAAGAGGAAAGCACGAAAATTCAGGGAAGAGGAGGATAAAATTTGCAAAGAAATATCGCGGATTAGTGATCAGTTAAACAATTATCCCAGCCCTGATACACTTCAGCGCTTAGATCACGCTCAACAAAAATTAGAAGATAAAAGAAAGGTAAAAATTCAAGGTCTTATAACGAGGTCCAGGGTAAGCTGGCACGAGGAGGGTGAAAGATGCACGAAGTATTTCCTCTCTCTTGAAAAAAGGAACGCAGTGAAGGGTTCAATACAAATCCTCAGTTTGGATGACCGAGTTATCACTGATAAAAAAGAAATACTTGAATATTTTTCTGAAGGACTTCGGAAAAAGTATCTCAAAACTCGTTCCGTGATACCAAGCGGTTATCTGAGTAATAATATAAGGAAGAAGTTGAATGAACATGAAAAAAGAGTCTTAGACGAACCTATTTCTTTGAAAGAACTGAAACAGGCATTGATGAACATGAAAAAGGGCAAAACGCCGGGCTCGAACGGTTTTACATCCGAGTTTTTTAAACATTTTTGGGAATCATTAGGTATCTTTCTATATCGAGCATGGATTGAGAGATTCGAAGATCACAAAAATCTGAATTCACATAACGAAAGTATTGTTAAGCTGATTCCTAAACCAGGCGTACCAAAGGATTCGCCTAAAGGCTGGAGACCTATCTCGCTACTAAATGTAGATTTCAAAATTATATCGGCGGCAATAGCTAAAAGATTAAAAGCTGTGATACACAAACTCGTTTCACCCTCTCAAACAGCATACATTCCGGGACGTTTCATTGGGGAAAACAGTAGGCTGCTGTACGATGTTATTGAGCGCTTGAACAGTCAGGATGGGTCGGGGATTGTGATGGGGGTGGACTTTGAGGCAGCCTTTGATACAGTTTCCTGGGAATTCCTGTCAAACACGCTTGAGATTTATAATTTTGGTCATTATTTTCGAAAGCTCGTCAATGTGCTTTTTCTTAACCGAGATCTAAACTCACGTATCCTTCTAGATGGCAATCTTGGTGCAAAAATATTCATGCAAAGAGGCATTAGACAAGGTGACCCTATATCCGGCTATCTGTTTAATCTTATCATGGAACCTCTCGCGTATCAATTGAATACCTCTCCTTGTATAAGAGGCATCGATATATCCGATAGAACGGAAGTCCGATTATCACAGTATGCCGACGACCTCATTGTATTCTCAAGCGATAACATCTGTTCCATTAAAGGCATACTACATGAGCTTAATAATTACTCAAAGATAAGTGGATTAAAAGTCAATTTGCAAAAAACAAAATGTCTCCCTATAGGCCAGGTGCAGACTGACACCCTTGTGGAACTAGGTCTGAGCGTCGTTAGTGAGATGAAGATTCTTGGGATAGTGTGTAACAAAAATAATGACAATATAACGTCTAACAATATCAGAACGATCATACCGAGGATAAAACAAGAGATAGCGCAATGGCGTAGAAGGCACCTAACGTTAATTGGAAAAATAACCGTTATTAAATCTCTTTTAGTCTCAAAACTAGTTCATTTATTGACATCACTACCAAACCTTGAGGAAGAGACCATTAAAGAGGTAGAGAACATACTATACCGCTTTCTGTGGAACAATAGCCCGGATAAAGTAAAACGTGCGCTAATAACAAAAGAATTTAGCGGGGGTGGCCTTAAAATGATAGATATTCGCTCCTTCATGACAAGTTTAAAAGTATCCTGGCTTAAAAGATTATACTGGGCACCTAAAGACGTTGGGTGGGCAATTATTGCACAGGATACAATTCCACCACTAGAAAACCTGGTCTGCTTCGGGTCAGTGAAATTAAGAATGGAGGCCAAAAAGGTAAAGAACAGGTTTTGGGAAGAAGTAATTCGCGGATGGTCGAGTTTCTGCACTGCATATAAACCTGACAACGATGAAATACTCGCGGACTTCATATGGTTTTCCGACAGCACAAAATACAAAAAGTCTATCGTTAAAGAATGGAACGAAAAAGGCCTTCGATTTATATCAGACCTGTTCAATCCTTTTGATGGCTCGCTACTGAGCAGAGAGCAGCTTGCAGCCACATATAAAATCAAAATGACATTTTTGTGCTATACCTCCATAATAAGAAGCCTGGCATTTGATACTTCCCCCAATGTAGCATGCATAGCTAAACACATATGGTATCCTATTCAACCTTTTAAAATCAAGCTTCTCTCACAAAACCTGCATCTTTCCAAAGTGGTATATAAAACCTTAGTAACAGGAATTAAAGTAAATCGCGATTCACACATATCTAAAATAAGTTGTAAGTGGATTCGAGATGTTGGTTCTATGCATAATGGAACTTTTTGCGATGTGCGATCGTCTACAAACAACACATATCTTCAAGCACTTCATTATCGAATTATTAACCGCATTGTTGCGACTAAAACTTTTCTCTGCCGAATCGGAAAAACAGAAACTGCTGCGTGCGACCTTTGTGGTAACGACGATACATTGTTTCACGCTCTGTATACATGCAACATAATTCAAAACTTTATACATAATTTAAAATCACATGTTCAAAGTCATTATAATATCAACTTAATAACAACACCTGAAAGCTGGATATTTCCTTGTCGTGACAAGGAAACAAACATTGAAATACTCATCAAATTGGTAGCAAAACACACAATAATGCGCTCCAAAAATAAGAACCGTCCCCCTAGTATCCCTTTGTTTACGTCCCTGCTCCGGGCAGAAGCCATGAAAGAAAAAAAGGCGGCTAAAAACTCTAGGCAATTTGAAAAATTCGAAAACAAATGGGGGAATGTTATAAATATTCTACAAAACATAGGCACCGATTGAAATGTGATGGCCGCCGCCGTCACCGCCGCCGTCGTCGCCATCCCGGTCGCTGCTGTCGGGGGGACCTGGGCTGCCCGCCCTCGCCGCCTCCGGAGAATGGCTGCCGCTGCCTGGCTGCTCGGCCTGCGCTGCCGTCGGCCGCGTTTCGGCTTCCTGCGTCGCCGCGGTGGCCGTGTTGGTGGCCGTTCCCTGGTGGAGCTGATCCGGCTGCTGTGCGCTGATGTGCGTTCTGACATTTGTAACCGGGACGGACGCCGGCACCGATACCCGAGTGGTGTCATACCTGTCAGCTGACGCGCCGCGCGTCCGTCTCGCGGTGGGTGGGTGGGGCCCCCACCGTGGGGGAGGGGGCTGTCGACGAGATGAGCTGAACTCCGCTCTTAATGCGATGTTGCAATGCGTCGTGCGTCAACTCCGTGCTCCGTGCCCGCGCCCCGTGAGAGCCGGGCTGTGGAGGCCGCCGGCGGGCGGGCCGCGCTTTGGGCGCTGCCGACGACGGGCCATATGTACGTAAATGTCTCCGCGGCCTCTGTATTCGGTTGGTGGTGGGTGACGACCGCTGGCATGCCGGAAGGGCTTGTGGTTCAGAATGGTGATAATGATCTAGTTGATATGCTATTTATGCAGTTTCATGTGCTCTTTACTGCATCTTTTGTGGGCGGATCGCGGAAGAGTGGAAGTGTGATGGATGACTAGACTGTGGCAGTAATGCTGTTTATTTGACAATAAATGCACTTAAAAAAAAAAAAAAAAAAAAAGTTCTACACAAATAATGCCAATAAAAATGCAAGTTTCTACACCCAAACTAATGCATCCGTTAATCATACATATCAAAACATACAGTTATCGCGTAAACCTGTATTCTAGTCTTACTTAATAAATTTCAAGTTGTCAAAAAAAAAAAAAAAAAAAAATGATATGCTTATGGGTACACTGTCGATAGCCTTGGTTTAATTTAATGATCACTTATTCCATGCTTATGTGCTGTCATTTCACCATAGCAATATGTGTTGTGTGATTTCTGTCGCGTTTCTCATGGTAGTCATTTGTACAACTGTGCGACCGGGCCGGTGAATGGGCCCCAGTAATGCGACGGCTGCTAGCGACTGGCCCAGACTGGCGCGGTGGTTGTGCCGAATTATCGCCGTTCGCTGGCGTCACGTCATGCCGGAGGCGGCCGTTTCGCTGCCCGCCTCCTGGGGAGGGGCACTGAGCCCGACTGCCCCCCCCCCCCCGTCCCCGCCGCGGGGGTCGGGGCAGCCGTTTTCCGCATATGTCTTGTGTATTTGTGATTGTCCATGGGGAAGTGCATTAATCTTCGTAAAGAGCTTTCAGCGGTGAGTGTGCACCGGGACTGCGCTGGCGGTGCGCGGGGTAACGCTGCCGACTATATTGTGGTGTAAGTACCGTTGGACCGATGGGGGCTGTATGGAGTTATTGACCCGGGGTCTGTCTGACGCTCGGCCCGCCGCACTGGGCACAGCTACACGCAGTAATTTTGTGTGGTTGCATGATACAGAATTTATACACATGTCTACATTTGGCACTGTGTTTGAAGTGGAGGGAGTTCGATGGTGAAATAGGGGGGCTGAAGGCGGAGTGTTGCGGCCTACCGAAAGAGAGGCGTGAATTGTGTGGTTAAGTCTTCAGCGTTTAGGAGCATGGCATGTGGCTGGGTTATGTATAGGCGCGTTTTATGAGTGCGATAGTCTAAAAGTGATTTGAAGAGACTGGCGAAATTTTTTAGTTTTTTTATATAATGGGATCGCTATTCGCTGACTTATTTTTGTGCGATAAAGACAGTAAGTCGCTCGGAAGCGCGAGATTTGTTGTGGTTAGCAGGACCCTCCCACCACGACCTACTGAAAATTATTCATAAGGCATTTCAACTTGGGAAGCAAGACCTGCCACCGTTTTCGGTCGCGAGGCAATGCCACTTCAACTTCTATAACACGCGATGTTCGGGCGGTGGGTAGACTGCTAGCTATGATTCGAATTTCGAAGGGCAATTTACGGGAAGGCGGGTAGTGCGGTACAGTATAGGTTCAGGCGCCACAAGCAGAGCCGTCTACTGTCGAGCATTTCGAGGTAAATAATGATTCCAACGACATGCAGGTATTTATGCAAAGGCATTTAGTGACTGGTAATGAAAACGAAGGTTGTGTGAGTGGTGTCATTTCAGTCAGCAAAAGACATCTATGGGCATTGGACAAGAACAAAATTGATAGTACGTATGCCAATGTGTGCTTCAGAGACCAGGCGTAACTCTATAGATGGCCTTGGGCGTAACAAGTAGAGCTATCTGTAGGCAATAAGTTATACCCACAATGTGTTATGCCTACCAGGATCTTGGTAGTGCGGTACGGCATGCTTCAGACGCAACAAGCAGAGCCATCTATTGGCAATAAGCAAAAACGAAGTCGTTTGGTATTGCGGTACAGCATGATTCAGGCGCAACAAGCAGAGCCATCTATTGGCAATAAGCAAAAACGAAGTCGTTTGGTATTGCGGTACAGCATCCTTCAGGCGCAACCAGCAGAGCCATCTATTGGCAATAAGCAAGAACGGTCTTTTTGGTATTGCGGTACAGCATGCTTTAGGCGCTTTTGTTTGTTTTTGTTTTGTTTTGTTGGGTTAGGCCCTTTCGGTCCAATTAGACCATTTCAGAGCCGGGAGGATGATAGGATATAGGGGGAGACATTGGTCTGGGCAGGCACCCTAGTGAGTCGCCGGGGCTGAGCCCGTCCAGAGGACAGGCCACCCAGCCCCAAGGCACTCACTGCACCCGGCTACGGGGTGCGCTCCCCCGGGAGCAGCGGTGCCGCTCCAGGGGAGCAGCCCGCATGAGATAAAGTTGCCTGTCCAGTCCGGAGGGGGGTTGCGGCGTGGAGGAGAAGGATTTCAGTATCCTGAGGATAGAAGCACGGAACGGTGGATTCAGGCGCCACAAGCAGAGCCATCTATTGACAATAAGTAATAACGATGTTGGTAGTGCGGCACAGTATGCTCCCGGCGCGACAAGCAGAGCCATCTGTCGGAGGTGGCGATAATTACGGGCGAGCGTGAAGCGATTCTTTTCAATATGACTGGAAAATCTCAGTGTGAGCGACCCGGCCCGACCCGACCTGACCCGGCCTGTAACGCTTTTGAGAGGCTTATAACTCAGCAACCGCTGGGCCGATTGAGATGCCGTCTTTTTTGTTGGGTATCCCTATCCCTTCTACCCCGTTATTGACTATACCATGACTATACCATAACACTGGATTGGTGTCTCGTGGAAATTAACATTGGGATCCGCGACATTGGGATCAGGCCTGCCATCTAGCGAGAGAATTATCGTAAGTTAGGAGCAAGCCGAGTGAACGCCATCTCTCAGTATTATGACACATTGACACACGTGGGTGTGGTGTGTTAGTTGGCTTGAAGTGTATACTTCCACGAGTTGGAGGTGATCTTACTGGACTTGAGACGATAAAAATGTCTTAAATGCTTGAAAGCCAAAAATGTCAAGCAGCATTTAGGTAATAACGAAAATAAAATGCGTAAGACGGTGTGTATTGAAACGCCCGGTCCCATCGGCTTGTACGACCTTTTCAATGGTCATTTACTCACAATGGTACAGCAGTTTGGCAATATGTCATGCATATTTGGTAGGCTTATTCCTTCTTCTCCGAATTTCGCTCGATTTTCTTCATCTTAGTTAATTGTTACGGCACGTGCCACGTGCCAACTTAGGGGTGTCGAAATTGTTCCACATAAAGTAACTCCGCAATGGCTGGGCCCATTACAGTAAAACTTCGTTAATAGTTAGGCACCCAGTGGCCAATGCATTTCCATGTGTCACTATGAGGGTGCTATTGCACGTGCGCACGTGCGGGGTGCCGCTTCCATATCTCAAGAACGGCTGGGCGGATAACACTCAAACTTTGTACACAAATGTCACATCGACGCTCGCACTGCATTGATCAGTGCTTACATTGGTGCAGAGTCGTACAGAAAACGAGGACTAATGAGATAGGTATCATCTTGATGAGATGCGTGGTGTTTATGCCTTTCTGTTCCAGCAGCTGATTGATCCGCAACAGGACATCCTTGTTTATTTATTATTTATTTATTTATTTGACATCGTAGGCTCATTCCACAAAAATGGCTATTCCTGAACCAGGGTCGCAATATAAAATGATGGCCGATGGGTGTCGTGGGAAAAACATACGCACGCACGCACACAGACAGACATTCGTTCGCAGTCACTCTCTCACAAACGTGTCGTCATGAAGTATTGCTAACGGTCGGCCGCCTGTTGTCGCAACAAGTGCCGGCGCAACTCTGCCTTGAACGCGCGCAGGTTCAGGTCACACATCGCCGGTGGTAGGCTATTAAAAGCTGTCACGGCGGTAAAGAGGAATCGTCTCCTCCCGGACTCCGGGAGGAGACGGGAGGAAGCCTTGTTTGTGAAGGCTTCGTCTCCCTTTGTACGTACGAAGAAGATCACACATCAAAGTTGTTTTAGGCGGCTATCTTGGGCCAGGGCTGCGGAGTTGTAGTCAGAGCCAGCGGTTCAGTTCCGACTCGGAGTCGGTTGATTTTTAAAAGCTGTAGTCGGAGTATGAGTCGAACGTCACCGAAAAGCCATCGACTCCACAGACTTACCAGGGCTGCAGAGTCGGAGTCAGAGTCGGAGTCTGTGTGAATCGACAGTTCTGCCCGGAGGAGTCGGAGTCGATATTTGGATACCGGAATCGGAGTTGGAGCCAAAGTCACTGAAATGTTATCGACTACGCAGCACAGGGTTGGGTCCTTTTCAAACAGCGTCTTGAATGACATATTGAGCGGCAATGACGTTAGCAATTCCGTCCAACTCTTTCATTAGACTTATAGATAGTACTTAACGTTCGTTTTGTACTTTGATCGGGCAATTTGTTTGATTTAGGCCAAGCAAAGACTCATGTGAAAAATAGCGAAAACGACACGTGCTGGCGAAGTCTCCAATAACTCCTGTTTCACGATTTAATGAGAAAATAACATGGAACTGCTTATCTTATTACTGACGCTGCACATAAATCTATTAATTTCTTCGCTTTCACTGACATATATAGACGTAACCTTTTGAAAAATTGCATAACAAGCCCGCTACTACACCACACTCCCGTGTGTCACAATGCTAATCAGCGGCGCTCACTCGGCTTGCTCCTAACTTACGATAATTCTCCCGCTAGATGGCAGGCCTGAGCTCAATGTCGCCAAAAACTGCGAAGACACCAATCCATTATTAGCTCATCCATGACTATACTCTTGATGCATCTATGTGACCGCTGTGGCACATGCCGCACGTGAAAATTCAACCGCGTTCAAGCTGTTTTGCAGAATACGCGCTTTTGAGAGGCCTTTATCTCGGCAACCGCTGGGGCGATTGACACGGTAATTTTTGTAGGGCAGTTGCACCCCTTCCACCAAACATCGGATATTTTCGATGCATGTGGGTTACCCCCACTGCACGTGCAAAATGCAAAAAGAAGAGGTGTCAAATCTGCTCCGATTACAATAACTCTGCAACTACTGTGGCGATTTCGCTGAAACTTGGCATGCATAGGCAGGCACGAACCAGGCAATACATTTACATGCGTTACGGTTAGGATACTAGTACTACTGCACAATGCACATGCGCATGTGCAGGGACCGCTTCCAGATCTTGAGAGCAGCTGGGCCGATTGCGCTCAAATTTGGTGCGCGGTTATAGGGACCGATTGGAAAGGTGCCGTGCGAAAGTCGATTTGGACCCAGTTTGCACGTGTGCACGACGCACGTGCAGGGTGCTGCTTGCAGATCTCAAAAACGGCTGGACCAACTACCTCGAAATTTGGCAAACCGCAAGTGACCGGTTAGTAGGGTGCCGTGCACAAGCCAGTTGGAAGTATAACTACCCTCTCGCCCTTCCGCCAGTGCAGGGCTCACTCTCTCACTCGCTTGTTCTTCGCCCAAAAGGCGCGTTACTGGTTATATTTGGCAACGGGCAGTTCCGGCACAGCATGTTTCAGGCGCAAGAAGCTGCGTAATTTCCTTGTCAAATGATAATGCATTAATCACCTCTCTCCCTATCTGCGCCAAGAACATGTCCGTTTACGACGGATTCTTGCGTACTGAACCAATGTAGCACTGCCCTTTCTCCCCTCGTAGATGCTTTATACGAAGCGGCAAAGTGACGTGCCACGACGCTCATTTTCACGGTTCACTATTTTCGGTGTTATTGTGCGTGTCCCGCAATATCAGACCCTCAGTTGTATGCCACTATCGCTGTTTGATCGCTTGGTTGTTATCTTGTCGATCAGTGCCAGGCACTTACCAACATGCGTTCATACTTATACTGTTCTACATAACTAGTTTCAAAGGCTGTCGTAGCTTCTTTACTGGGGACTGAATATGAATAATTGAACATCGAACTGGGGTGTGAATATCGATCCAGAACCATGTTGTTGTGAAGAATTGGCACAGTTTTATTCAAAACGTCTTGGTGAACTCTATCTAACCCAGTAAACGTCTTTGCGGCGACAAACGAGCGAGCGAGACAGTGAGACCGCAGGTGCGGAAGTGCGATGCAAGACCGACCTACAATTGACTTGTGCGGGCCATCCTTCTAGCCGATCCATAAAAATGTACATACCAACTTTGAGCGCAACTGGCAAGGGAATTCTTAGATGTAAGAGCGGCACCCTGCACGTGCGCACGTCCAAGTGAGGTCCAACTGACTTGTCCGGGGCACCTAACGGTCACTAAATTGCATAGCTCAATCAGCCCAGTCGTTCTCGAGATGTGCAGGTGACCCCATACACGTGCGTATGAGTGCAAGCTGGACCCCAGCAGACTTTTGCGAGGAATCCTACTAACCGGTCCCTAACCGTGTACCAAGTTTCAGCGCTAGGCCCAGCTGTTCTCGAGCTCCCGCAGGACGGGGCTGGGCCGGCCCGCGGTCGGGTTGGACCGCTCATGCTGAGATTTGTCCCTTAAACCATTGATAACTCGCTTACTCGCAGCGCTTGTTCGATTCTATTGTTTCCGATTTTTCATTCATTTTGAACTTGTGTGTAGTTCCTTTGTGATTCTTTAGTGCGGTGCTATGGTAAGCCAAGGCATGCAATGTGAGCGCTTAAAAGTAATGCGTTTTTCTCACGACAACCTTTGACATCATTCAATGGCCTTGCGTTGCATAAAGTATGAAACAGTGAATGGAATCGAGGGCGCATGAGGCTATTCGGCTACCCCTAACCACGGAGGTTGCTGTGGCGTTTCTGTGGTGTCGGTGGGCCCGCCGCGGCGCCGCGCCGCCACCGACAGCGGGGCACTCGACAGCCGCTCGCGCCGACGGCAGGTTATTCGACAGTCACTCGCGCCAGCACCGACTTGTCTGAGGGGCCGTCGGGATGGGTCTGTGGCCGACACCGCCGCTGCTGGCTGCGCTGCTCGGGCTGTGTGCGGCGCTGCTGCCGCCGGCGCTGGCAGTCTCCGCCTACGACGGACTGGTGCAGCAGAGTCGTCCGCTGAACGCTGTCAACTTCCTGCTGCGAGACCCTCCGAACGACGACTGGCTGACATGGAAACATCCGGGAGACCTGCCTGCGGCCGACCCGAGCGTCACCAGCGACTGTGAGTCACCCGTCTTCTCCCAGTATGTTCGGGATCCCCGGAGGATAAAATATAAAACGATGTCATTTTCTAAGGGATGTTGGAACCAACGTCACTCCGTTGGTTGTCCAACGGATGTCACGGTCCGGATGTTACAAATTTGTTAGCTTCAAACGGCGTGCAAGCACATCGTTCACCTTAATTCTAAATTTATTTCTAAATTAAATTTATTCTAAATCTATTTAACAGGTTAAGAAATATCTAAATGTATTAATCCTCGCCGGCCGAAGGGGGGGGGCGGGTGCCGCCCCCCCCCCATAGGGGTTTTTCGCGATAGCTCCGAGCACTCTGGCGATAGAGAGCTGAAACTTGGCATACCTGACCTTTGATTCAAGCCGAATCTTTTGACACCAACCGTATTTTTGGTCAGGTCAGGTCACTGACCTATGACGTCATAAGTGAACCTCTGCACGGTCTTCAGGTGTCGCAATTTCGCAACGCCCTCACTGCCAGGAGAGATGTCACAGGGAAATGAAACTTGCAGGATCTAGTATCCATTATGAGTCTCACAACTTGTATATCTCGGATTTTTCCTAAAGGTCATATGAGGTCAGGTCATTTTCGTGACCTCACCATTATAAGTCAATGGGGAATAATGAAAACTGCTATTCTGGCGCCGGGAACGATCTCCAACTATCTCAAGCACACAGAATCGTGATTTGATGCACTCCTTGCAAGGTTAGATGCGTCACTTTTGCAATGTTGACCTTGCGTCATTATGACGTCATCAAGGTCATATTAGTTTTTCGTCAATAACTCTTGATCAAATTAAGCTAGCGAGCCGGGAAAGCCACCAATGGACTCAGGAAGACCTGCCAAATCGAATGATATGCAGCATGACCTCTTTTGACCAACTTCCTGACCTGGGGGTGCTGACCTGACCTTGACCTGAGGTCAACACCCTAAGTTGACCTGACCCGAACAAAAAGTATATCATTCGACGCGCCTGAACGAGGCGAACACGATGCTGCCAAAATCGCGGCTCTGCGGCCGTTTTTTGCGAAGTTATTCACCAAAAACTGAACCGTACCCTGGGTCACTTGACCTGACCTCAGAGGTCACCGGTTGACTTAGGACCTTAAAATCGGGTACCAATCTCTGCGTCTCGTAACGGCGCACACGCTCGTTTTTTTCCGCGACGCGCTAGCTCCACCAGGGGCGAAACGGCGAGGGGGGTCGTACCCACCCACCCCCCCTCCTCGGCCGGCGCGTATGTAGAAAACCAATAGGTCCGGCGAGGGTTAATTTATAAATTTATCAGCAAAGTTTATTGCTAAGCTTGTCCGATGTGTTTTCACGCCGGTTGCAGTCGATAACTACCTTTGCAACACTCTTTCATGTCCATTCAGTTGAGTGACAGTCATGCCAGTTTTCACAGATGCACTGCAATGTTTGGTAATTACCATATAATTTATAAATATCGTAGTTATGTGTACATTGCTTGATCAAAGGGATTCCTACTACGTCTCTTTGACGTCAGCGACAATCAACCTCGACGTGCTGACATATGTGTGTCGGGCGGCACCGTAGCCTAAACGTGAAAAGAAAATATGAGCTTTAAGTACCATACCAGCCTACATATGCTAAAACACACACTGAATCACTGACAAAATTAACTGGTTTATACATAACCCATAGCTCAGTGTAGCTCTGTAAAATGGTCCGCCATCCACAATGCATCAGGAAGTAACAGACGATGGAAGCAATGAATACGCAATGATGAGCTCTACTTTTTTAACACCTTGCTTATCCACTTAATTACTTCAGAAGTATTTGTGGTTCTGCGCTGATCATTGCATTTTGATCCTCGTCGGGTAGTTTTCAGCTTGATTCCATTTCTATTAGCCGTTTTCACGGCGGGTTATAGTGAATGCACCAAACTTAACCCTCGCATGTGTAGGGGGGGGGGGGGGTCGGATGGACCCCCCATGGTTTTTCGCGAATAACTCGCGTAAAAAGCGGCCGATCGCGACGAAACTTTCAGTACCCTCGCATTGATCAATTTTACACGTACCCGGAAAAGTTCATGACCCTGACCCAAATGACCTTTGACCTGTGACCTCTTTTCCGAGACCATGTTTGGCCGGAATCGCGATTTCGCGTATGTCGGCTCGCATTAGCCGCGCGTTTGCAAGCTTTTCGTGGTTTCAAACGTTCAAACATATGATTTGATGTTGCTCCCATACATTAGGGTGGGTGTCAAGGTCACCTAAAGGTCAGGTCAGGTCATTGACCTTTGGTGAACTCGGGTGACCTCGATTCACTTTTTCGAGTTTTACATGTTACTAGGCTAGTTTTTGGAGCTGAATTCGAATTTAGCAACCATTTGAACATTTACGAAGTAGTTTTGGTGACTTCGTAACATGTTACGAAGCTGTCAGAGGTGGTTGACACGTACTACGAATACCCGTCACGACGCCTACTGGTTGACCTGACCGGACCTGACCTGACCCGACCTGGTCTAAATGCTTAAAAACATCATCTGTGATCAAAACCAACACGATATTCGTGATCAGCAGCCCGAAAAACCCCTTAGCAGCCACACTTTACGACTTAACAGGCAGGGGCGCGGGAACTACTTTCCGACTGGGGGGGCACACCATAATAGAGATCAACCTAGGGTACCCCCAAATCTAGTTTTCTCACCGGTTTTAGGCCACTTATTTTTCACCCCTCGGCTTTTTCAACAAAAAAAGAAAACATTTGCAAAAAAAGTGTGGTATTCCGTCTCAAAGCTGTGGGGGCACCGCCCCCACGGTCCCAGAGTTGGGGGGGCAAGCTGCCCCCACTGCCCCCCCGGCTCCCGCGCCTATGTTAACAGGTCCCGATTTTCCCGACTTTGGGTCATTGACCTGACCTGGAAGGTCAACCAATGATCTATCATCTAGGACCTTAAAATTGGGTATCATCGGCTTCCTCTTGTCACGGGCAACACGCTCGTTTTTTTTTCCGCGAAGCTCTAGCTCGATCAGGGGCCAAACGGCAAGGGGGGTCCAACCGACCCCCCCCCCCCCTACACATTAGAAGCTGGCAAACGCCGCACACATGCGAGGGTTGCGTGCGAGGGTTAACTAAATCTGCACCAAATCTTCTTTTTTATAACAAATGTCTTCATATCATGAATTTGTTTCAGTGTTTCAGTCTAAAATAATGTTTGATCATTTGAAAAAGCAGTTATATAAGCAACTGTGCAGTGCAACCCAAGTAGATAACCTCTATGAAACACAATAAACCTTATTTGATCAAATCTGCACCAAAACTGCACCAAATATAAGCCAAATGTGTACCAGATAGTGTCGTGAAAACGGGTATTATACACTCCATCTCATATCACTTATCATTATGTACCTATAAATATTGAAATAATTCAATTAACGTATCAAATAAACGTAGGTAACAATGCCATCTAATCAAAATACAAGAATATCATTTACGATGCATCGTAAGGCGTTCACTTGCCACTCGCCAATTGCCATGTTTTCAACTATACTGATACGCTCTACTCGTATTGTTTCACCTTACGACCGTTGCCGCTGATCTGCCATAAACTCTGACCCTCCTCCTCCCTGCGTCTTTCTCACTCTCTCACTCTCTCCTTTTACTTTATTTCTCTCTCTCTCTCTCTCTCTCTCTCTCTCTCTCTCTCTCTCTCTCTCTCTCTCTCTCTCTCTCTCTCCCTCTCTCTCTCTTTCCCTTCCTCTCTTCTCTTTCGTCCGAGGGGCGCAGGTGAATGCAGCGCCCGGTGTCTCTCGGACCCTGGCTGCTTCAGCTACATTTACGCCCCTGCCGACGGATGTCGACGGTTGCCGAGCCGGGGCCGAGCCACCACCGGCCACACCTCCCTGCTGAGCGCCGGCCAGCTGCGCTTCAGGGATGGAATGGGTGAGTACTGAGTAATGGCCAGCCGGCCAGCTGCGCTTCAGGGATGGCATGGGTGAGTACTGAGTATTGACCAGGCCAGCTGCCCGTCAGGGATGGAATGGGTGAGTATTGAGTAATGGCCAGCCGGCCAGCTCCGCTTCAGGGATAGAATGGGTGAGTTAGGTGAGCATCAATCAGGCCAGCTGCGCCTCCGGCATGGAATGGGTGAGTACTGAGTATTGACCAGGCCAGCTCCGCTTCATGGATGGAAAAGGTGAGTGTCAGGCAAGAGAAAAAACGTCACTTCAAAGGTTGAGCATGAATCGAGTAATGAGGTTCTGTTTCTGGTGCGGGGCGGGTATCAGACGAGAAAAGCAGTTCCGCTCAGTAAATGGTGTGCATGTCATCTATGTTGTGTCGGTGGAACGAAATGGCCGCCGGTTAGATGCAGTCTAGCGGCTGCCCCCGTGTGTCCTCTGACTTCTGGCCGTCGTTCCAGCCCGCCTGGGCGACTACTGCCGGTCGGACGGTGAGTGCACGTTCGTCGTGGAGGGCTCGCGGTGCGACAGCGGGCGCTGCGTCTGCCAGGACGGCCTGTACCCGCTGCAGGGTCAGTGTGTGACCGCCGACCAGCTGACGACGACCACCGCCTCGCCTGCTGCCGGCGCCGGTAACAGCACGGCCGACCCGGTTGGCCAGTCCACCGTCAGCAGCACGGCTGACCCGGCTGCGTCCTCCACCATTGTCAGCAGCAGCACCGCGGAACCGCCTTCTTCCACCAGCGGTACTGAGCCTCCCTCTTCGACCATCATCAGCAGCACCGCTGAGCCTTCCTCGACCAGCAGCATCAGCAGCACCGCTGAGCCTACGTCTTCAACCAGCATCAGCAGCACGGAGCCTTCCTCTTCCACCAGCACCACAGAGCCCACCACAAGTACGACAACGCTCGCTGCGACTACCCCAGGTGGGTCCGAGTTGACAGTGTATAAGTGTACGAAAGGTCTTGGCATCTAATGGAATGTAATGACATGACATGTAAAGGGAAAAGGTTTGGATAACGTTTACGGCTTAACATAATGGGTGTTCACTAAAAATTGACACAAAGTTTAGCAGGCTGTATCTTCAGTAAAAATGTACCGATTTAAACAAACGAGGCATTGTTGTAATGCACATTGCATCTGCTGTAAGCCGTAGAGCGTCAACAGATTTACCTGATCCCTATCGGTCATTTTTTGGACATTTCCTTGGAAGTGTTGTCACAAGCTCTGGCACCAGTGGACTGTGATGTTGGCCAGTTGATGGTGGTAATGAGCAACCAGTTGATATTTTGTATGAAATCGAAAGACACCAACATACGTTATAGCCTTAGGCAAATCACATTAGATGCTCATTTGTTAAATTTCAGGCGTGAAAAATGGCTTATCGGGTCTCGTTCCAATGGGAATTTTTACATCGGCCGGGGCCCTCAAGGCGCCCCCTGGTTAGTGTGCTGGCGCGAGGTCGGACCAGAAAATCACCTTCTGGTTAAATATGTTGTTCTGCATGATCCTGTAGTGCTTAATAATACACTTGGCTAAAAAAGCATCATATTATAAAGGACCAGTCAGGAGGAATAAAGTCAAACTGATGATATTCTCTGAAATAACACATACACCACGGCATCCAGCGTTAGCTTGCATGCTGACACTTAAATGGACGTTAGCCCTTGTATCATCGATGACATCACAACAGAACACTCCATTGTCTAGTTAATTGTCGCCCTTTAACTAAAAACATGATTTTTCTACCTTAAATAGTTAAACTTTTTTCTGCATTTTTTGTCCCTTGTTTGACCATAGCATATTTACTTCTCTGGCCTTATGTTGCTCCCAGTCGCTTCGAGAAATCATTTGCGCCGGTTGTAACTCAGCCTAGTCTCAGGTGTGATATATCTTCTTCGCTTAGGCACAGTTAATACCTTACTGATCAGCAGCATTGCGCCGTGAGGTGTCAAAAAGCCCCTCCACGTGCATTTTCGGGGCCCCGACCCTTCCTCAGGTGAATATCTTCACAATTACACCACTTCAGCTTTTCGGACTCCCACACCCTCTAGAACTTTCGTCCCACTGTACGGTATGTAACTAATTTTGAGATTTTAAGTTTTCATTAGGTATTTGTACGTGTCAAACTCTCCCATTGACGTGCTAACTATTTTGGGAAAGCCTGCCAATGGGCTTTTGGTAGTCCTTGTTTAAAACGACCTCCAACGCCACTGTTTTCATTATATCCGTGAAATTTTATGCTCGGTATGATAAAAACGTCCCTTTAATCTCTATGCTAAGTTGCATCGTAATAGCTTGCTTCACGTTTGATATGCAGCCATTCAAAGTTTGTGTCAATTTTTAGTAAACACCCTATATTGGATCGTGTAAGCGGTATAAAGATGGCATACATGATAAAGATGTATAGTCCTATTTCAGACAATTTTGAAGCGTTTCTTTTTCCTTGCTGACATGTATTTTGAAGCTTCTTATGTCGTGTCTTGTAATGTGTAAGGATGTATAACAGGCGGTGACTGTTCACAGGCCTAGTTTCTCTCGTCCCTGGAGGGGTCAAGGATACCAACAACGCCTGGAGTTCGTCTTGCCCAGCCAGTAAGAAATAATTGATTAAACATCTGAATCGAGATGGAGGGCTACCGTCTTCAGTACTTAGCTGCAACATCTTATTGGTGAACTCATTACAAGCTCCAATTCGTTTGTAATTTAATAATGATTCCCTTTACCTACACGTTTTACCTAACTATGTAAAGAAATCGCTAATGAAGCTACAATTATGGAGTACGAACCGTACACTCAATTATCTGTGCATGAAATGATCGAGCTATTCCATGAAAATTCGACACAATTAGACTTTAGATAACGAAAGCTGAGATCAGTCGCTCCCCTCAGTGTAGCGAAAGATTGAGCAGCAATCACATCTATCGTGTTTAGTTAATGTCGCATGTCCCGATAGCTCAGTTGGTAGAGCGTTGAGCGAGCACCTCCCAGTAGAGACCGGGTTCGAGTCGCTCCGGCGTTCGATATTTGAGACTCCTGACAGGGAAAGCCTGCGGTTGGTGGGAGCAGCCGCAGCCAGTTGAAGTCAGTTGAGTGGGACAGGCCGTGTCCGGCTTTGAGGGGCACGTTTTAAACTTTGGCATCTATATAAATTCTCCCGTTACCCGGAATAGCGAGATCGGACGGTAGAGTTCGGGGTTTACGCAACAAGCTCTGCTTAGCGTAGGCTCCGGCTCTGACCATTCAAACATTCGTAACGAATTTACAAAAAAGCATTCACCACCTTTTAGTGTTTACCAGCTGCTAGCAAATGCATATTTACCAAGACCGGAGCGAGAATAAATAGTCACGGACGGACGGTTCACTTCACTAAACTTGGCATGTTCAGTTTCGTTATACTCGTACTGCCCAGCGCCTTCACTGTAGCTGAATTGCGCTTAAGCTGAAAGGAAGTGATGAATTAGTGTAGTGCCTTCGCGTGTCATGTGCTATTCGTATGAGCTGTGCGTGACCAAGAACAGGGTCAGTTTTGCAGGTTACCACCGCAACATTGAACGCCAATTTCTGGTATTATGCAGCGGTAATGGCGCGCAAACTTGATCCAAGTAATTACTTTCCATCATCTTAGCTGGAAAGGTTTCGCCTTTGATCACACAATAGATCCTTGCTTAAATATGCATATGTGCTGGTAAAATATCGCCAGTTTCGGCGATAGCCTTTGCCTCCTGACCGGGCTCCGCGCTCCCGCCCATTCATTATGGCCAATGTCATTCCATTCCATTACCGAGACACCCCGCTTTTGCCATGAATGCCATCTGTCCCATTGCCGGCAACTTCATCATTATGGGAATCCTGCATGCTCAATGTTGTCATTGACATGTTATGCGGCGAACATTCTCCCCGACCAGCAATCAATTACCATTGTGTTGTCATTTCAGATCAGGTGGTTATTGGAGCCATGATGCTAAGAACGGATGGAATACAAGAATTCGACAATCCCTCTGACATGTTCTGCAGAGGCATCTTTAACCTTGCAACCAGCGCTCTAACTCCCTTCATCACCACACGGAAGAGCATTGTTGATCTCAACGCAGATGGAATTGTAAGTGTTTGTAGTGCCCTCCCACCATCTCGCCTCTTAGCCCGCGCCCTGGTGGGGTCTGTTTATAACGCGACCTGGTGGGGGGTATTTTTTGCCCCCCCCCCTCGTATCTCCGAAACTACTGGACGGATCCGCAAAATTCAAACGGCGTTCGAAAGGTCTGTCAAATTTGTCGAAGGAAACCAAATTTCATTGACCTCAGGGTCACCGATGACGTCACAGGTCAGGTCAAAGATGAAATGTTTCACCGTTCACGGGTCTTCTAGGGAATGCGCTTAACACCGAGGAAAACGCATTTTGTCGAGAATCAGCGATAGGGCGTCAGTTGCCTAGTAGATATGTTGCTATTAGAGGTCACTGACAATACCAGGTCAGGTCACAGGTCAGGTCACCAAGGGTCACAGGTCAGGTCACATGAGCCCAACTTTACCTACTAAGGTTGTGTGATGCATGTTTTATGGCCAATTTTTCATTTCCAACTCAATGGTGTTGGTTATAAGACTATCAGATACGGCTTAGGTCACTTTCTGGTGAGGTTCAGGTCAAGGTCAGGTCAAGGTCAGGTCAAGGTCAGGCCAAAAAAGGTCAAATTTTAAAGTTGATAGTTTTGCATAAAATGGGTATTGATTCGATGCAGCGTGTCACGGGGAGTCTAATGGTGGTCTTTGTTTTGCGCTACGGGGTCTAGAATTGCTAAAAATTGAGTTTGAAAATTTGACGTCATCAATTTTGAAGTTTTTTCGCTATAACTTCGCCAAAAAAAGAGGTATCAATCTCAAATTCGGTATGTGGATGTAAGGCGGTAAGGACTATCACATATATTCCGGTTTTCGCGAAATTCAAAAAACTTTTTGGATTTTTCTATTATTGTATCCAAAAAATATATTTTTTGATTTTTGGGGGTCAAAATCCAAAAATTTCAAAATCCGAGATAGCAGTTTTGTAGCCCTGTTGATTCTACAGCTTTTATGTCTTAAGCATTTTTCTGTATTTGCAAAGCTATAGGCCTGACAGCTCTTCCCGCGAAACCCTTTTTTGGGTCGAAAACGGCAGAACATGACGTCACTCTGACGTCATTTCCGGCCAACCTATCATAGCCTTTGAAAAAAATTGGTCACAATGTGTAAAATTGATGTCTGGGAGGGTACTGAAAGTTTGGTGACGATCGGCGCAGCGGTTCTGGAGATATATCGAAAAGTCTGGAGGGGGGGGGGGCAAAAAATAGCCCCCCCCCCCCACCAGGTCGCGGGTTAGGGCTGTAGAGTTATCGAATAATGTCATGTGTGTTATGATTATTTAGTTATTGGTTACCTATAATTGCTTAGCTGTAATAATCGTTAAGTAGTTTCATGAGCTGCGACTACCTACTGTTTAGACGAGTCTCCATCTATTTTTTCTCTGCAACCATGAATATTTATTCCTAGATATTCAAGAAAAATGAGAGCAAGGGAATTCCCACTCGCATATGTATAATTTTATGGTTAAGTACCGTAACAAAAAAGACATGTCATGAGATGTGCAATTCAAACCTGGAGCAATTGATGAAGGTATGTCGTACGATTAGAAACCAATGTCTCCTACGCTGTTCTGTGCATACATTGTTACAAATCTACGAAGCGTCGAAGTAGCCTTTACCAATTCTGGGTAAAATCTACCTAGAATTAGTCCGAGGACCGGGTTATATGATCCCGGTTTAGTTTATGCATCCTGCAGCAAGGTCAATTAAGCTCGTGTTTCGCTATCAATGATGTAAGTTGAGACCGATTTAGCACTATACGAATAGTGTCCCAATGTAGCGAGCCGCACCTGAACACTGACGCTGCTGACTGTTGACTGTTTTCAGCTGAGGACTTGCCCAAATGGCTATGTGGTGACCGCGCTTTACGCGCCGGGCACTTCCAACCAGCCGTTTCGGCTGGGGGCGCTGCTGTGCGTCAACACGGGCCTCAGTCTGGGGGACGGCTGCAGCGAGGAAGATCCACAAGTCAACGAGATTGAGCCAGGTGTCAACAGCCACGCCTGCCTGGACGGAAAAGTGGTGACTGGCGCCAAAATAAAACAGAACTTTCAAGGCTGGATTGAAAAGTTCAACTGCTGTCCGTTACCTGCCGGACTTGAGCTCCGCGTTTAATTGAGGAACTTGTCAGCTATGACGCCTGATGTCATAGACAGATAGTGTGCCTGCCTATGCCTAACCCTCGGCAGTCCTTATCAATTGCCTCATAGCTAATGGGATGCAGCTTTCTGCAGCCCCATGACAGCCACTACGAATCGAACACCGCCATCCCGGTCAAAACTAAATGCGCTATTTATTGGGCACAATGGCACAACAACTAAAATGCATAACAATAATTTTACGGTCTTTACTGGCCACATTTAACTCGCATGTTCATTTTGTCGCCTTACGTTACCCTCCAAAAGTTTTAAATTGTCTTGATGTAACTTAATTAGTTGTGGCCCTTATGACCTGTTCGTAGTTGCGGCATTACAAGCCGTTCCATCGATACGCATAATTGTTTCGTATTTGCATGGTAGTAACTTATTAGTTCGCCGCCTAAACTTGGAACAAGTCAATGGTAATTAGCTTGCTTCCTAAGTAAGAAATAAATGCTTGACGATGCCGCACAATTTCTTGTTTGTTACCTCCGTACAATTTCGACTCCCTTTCTTAGACATCAACGTTATCGGTGCACGCCGGGCACGGTGTCTTTTCGTTGTGGATGAACGAGCAGAGAACACCGGACATCGATGATTGAGAAAAAGGGTGAACTTCTCATCTCATTTCATCTCATATATTTAAAACATTTATTCAAAACAAACAATCGGTGTCACCTCGATTGGCGCAAAAGTGGCGGAGTACTAACTCGCGGCGCCTCTCGAGTCCGTGCAATCGCGCAGGGCGCCGCCTTCACAGCCTCACAGCCGCTGCCCGCCACCGCGCAGACCGCTCCCAATAGATGTATGTATAAAGGCGCCGGCGCCGGGGACAGCGCTCGCCGCTCTGTGACGGTCGGTGTCAAAGGACTGGGCGTTAGGGATGGGTGGCAAGATGGGAAGGAGAAGCAAAGCGTTTGATGGCATAGATGAAAATTGATTGTATGCTGATGAACACGATAATATAATTTGGTAGAGCTGGCAAAAGTGTGACAAGGACAATGGCCTTGCGGATAATTACACTCAACTGACGTTCATTTTGACACTCAAACGTGTACGATGAGCCTGATGCTCACTTGCCTGTCACGGTACGTTGAGATGAAAATGATGTGGTGTGAAATGCTTCTAATCACTAGTCACTTCAATGGCACACTGCTAGCTTGGAAAACGTAGCCCTCGACAGCGGAGCGGTTAATGATCGTGTCACGAGTCGAGAATGAACCGGAACGCGCTGAACAAAGCCCTATAAAGGGCGCAATTTTTGCGTAAAATTTCCGGGTTTCGGGAATATTGAGACCTGCTACATTGAATAAAATAGCATTTAAAAGCTTAAGAATAGTTACAGACCTGGGAAGAAATGCGTTTCTGTGTGTCACGGAACAACCGCGACGGGCCGAAAACCCCGGTGTGGCTCATTCGAACGACCGTGAAGAGGACTAAAATTGACAACCGGTAACATATGGAGTTGACGCCAGATGTGAAGGACTACCTAAAACACGCAGTGGACACTTTGCCCGGATGGCTGCTTTGCCACGGTCCCCCCTAAATAAAAACCTGCGCCGAGTCCTTATCCAGGACAGAAATAAAAGTAGATATGTTACAGGGAGTTTGAGAAATCCGTGAGTTTGCAAACTCGGAACTCCCTAGCCCGGCCGGGCCATCCCAACCACCGCAGCCCGGGGAGGGGCGTTCCCCCCCGTCTAACTCCGTAAATAAGGGAGCTACGGAAACAAAAGCGATACCAAACGAAAGGTGTTTACGAGACAATTCTAAAGCACCAAAAAAAAATTTTGACCTCAGGTCAATTTTCAAGGTCAGAGGTCAAGGTCAAAGGCAAAAAACCGGCACATGTGTAGTGATCTCAAAGTAAGCATTCTAGAGGACGGCAAGATGCATAAAACCGGCAAAATTGGGTGTCAAACGACAGAAGAGAATCTGGGAATTCCGAAAATGTGCTCAAAATTAAAAGTCAAGGTCAAGGTCATGCTCAAAATTGACCTCAAACTTTGCATTTTTTTCGTACATCTTGCGTGCTAACTTCCAAGATGTTTGAAATGTTTTGACGCTTATCAGGTCCCTATTTGTGGTTCATCTTACGATACAAGGCTGCTCAAAGGTCAAGGTCACAGACGAGTATCCTTGCTAGAGGCTATTTCACTGATCCATGTTAGTAATAATTAATAAGACAATTTTGCCATCCGCAGGCTCTAAATGAAGGATTAGAGGAAAATAGATGCCAGATTCGTGATCAGCGGGTACGAATCCATCATAAACAAATTTTTCATGTGTCAAGGTCAACCAAAGGTCATTCGAGGTCACATGAGGTCAACATAAAACTTGACCTTTTCCAAACAAAATATATATCATTCGACGCGGCTTGACAAGGCAAATGCGATGGTACCATTGCCGTAGCTCTAGGGCCATTTTTGTCGAAGTTATTTGCGACTACTAAAACCACATTTCGGGGTCGTTGGCCTGACCTCTGACCGCAGGTCACCAAAAATATTTTCTTTTTTTCTGTAGGTCAAACGCTACACAACCGTGCTCGTAATTTGTCCTTATCTCTGAAACTATTTTTAGCAGCTATTTGAAGTTCGCGTCTGTGACGCCGAAGTTTGCCGTGCAGGGGTCTAGAAAAATCGACCCTGTGCCACGTCATCTAGGGGGCTAGGTTCAAATTTTTTACTTCAGAAGATGTCAAATTGATGGGAAAAGGTACTGCACCACCACACCCGTGTTACCAGTGTGGTGTCGGTTATGCCGTCTGTTGAGCTGGCTGGCTGTAGTCTCAGCTCCGCCCCCACACCAAGGCCGCCCCCCACACCAGTGTGACTGCCGACTGGTGTGGGATGACGTTCGCCGTGCCATCTGTTGGCTCCAATGTAAACCCCAGTTGTGCCCCGCCATCTGTTGGCCGTAATTTAGACTTCGGTTCCGCGCTGTCAGTGCGTCCGCCACCTAGCGGTCGTGGTGTGTGTGAGGAAATGCAAGGCTATAGAACTCCAGGTAAGGACACCAGCCGTTTGACCTTGAACGCCGCCGGCCGGCCGATGACGTCATCGGAGGCAAGCCGGCTCGGTGGACACATCGGGCGAATGCATAACGGAGGGGTGTTGGAACGTTGCGGGAGCCGGGGAGAGATTTTAATGCGGTTGCATACCACCATTGTCATGTTGATTGATCTACAGACTGCATTCTTATAAACCTCGATGTTTCCTAGGCCTGGATGGTGCGTACATTCGTAGAACGATCACCCTGACCGACGTCCGTGGTCGAAGCCATGTCTATGCACCATAAGGACGCTAAGACGGGTGCAATAACGGCGCCCTGATCCGGTCTCTGGCGAATCTAGAGGGTTCGTTAGGACCCAGGCCGAATCTGACAGTCTATTTTTAGGGAAACGGGGTGGGTGAATTGACAACCGATGGTTTAAGAGATGATGAGAGGGGATCCCATCGTCGATGGTTGTTGACAGCCAACACATGCTGTACTGGGCGGATAACGATAAGAGATAATGCCTGAACATAGGCAAGAATAATTGGTTTTTGTTATTGGTAATTGGCAGTTTGATTAACCTACATTCCCTCAGACAATTTGTGAAGTTTTCGTTTTATTCCCGAAAAGCGATTACGGGCGGTGCCCCTGTTGTGGGGGAACGGAAGACATTAGGCCCCAAATGCCTTTCCCTGGATCCGCAAGTGGGCTGCCCCAACCCGAGCTTTACTAAAAACGTCTTCAAATCCCACCAGACAGCCGATGTTAATGTGAATTCAAATCCGATAGCTCATCTCTGTCTGCCCGCCTAAATATACTACACACCGCACGGAGCCCGGCCCCGTCGGAGTTCTGAGCCGACCGTGACATTTTCGGCTTTCCCCATCCCAAGCTCGATTAGAACCCCACCCGATTGCTGATAATCATTCAAATTCAATACCTCATCTCTGTCTGCCCGCCCATAACCCTTTCATCGCACACCGTACAGCGCCCGACCCCGCCAGAAGTATCCTAGCGCGCTGAGTAGTTGCCTCCAGCCGCGTCATCGCGAGGCCCCGCGAGGCGCATAAACGAATACATTGCGCGAATAGCCGTGTCGCCCCCCTGAGGAAATGTAACTTCGCTCTCTTGCCCCGCGGTCGCCGCCGCAGCCGGCCGACGAAGTGGCCGGCTGCCGCCATTTTATAATAAATCCGCTGTCGCTGTTAACGAACCTCTCTCCTTACACCGGGGATAACTGGCGTGGTGACAGCGTTTCAACCTATGCCTCCCCTTGATGTTTGTTTTGCCAAAAGCGGCGCAGCGACACTTGTCGTACTGCACATTTGAGGCGGTTTATTTTATCCTGATTTTATCAAGGCCCTAAATACAGATTTTATCAAGATGGCGGCGCTGGCGCGTCCGCGCCGTGGCCTGAGTCACCTGAGTATTGCTTATTCTCGGAATTGACAAGCATCGGATTTGACGTCAACAGAAGCCAGAAGATACGGTTCTGCGCCTGTTGTTTCTTTTTCAAGCTGAATATGTCTGCTGGCTCGCTCTGCCGTGGTTCTGCTGGTGCTGTTGGCCGGAGACATGCTGCGCCACGTCGGTCGCCGCTGCCTTCGACGCCTGTCGGTTTGACCGCCTCAGACTGCCGCCAGCTGCGGGCCGTTGACGGCGGCCCCGCCGACTCCATCTCTGATTCGACTGACTCCCTAGTCCCTGCTGAAGACTGCCACGCTCACCGTCCGCCGTCCGGTGTGCCCCTGCGTGAGGCTGCCGGCTGGCCGAAGAGCGATTCCAGTCGGGGAAACTGTGGAGCCGCAGCCTGCTGAAGAAGCGGCTGGTCCCCAGTATTTCTACCTTCTCTGCCGGCCTCACCCTGTGGCCGCCCGACACTGGACGGCCGCCCGCTCCTGGTCGCTGTGCGACGCTCCCACCGCGCCGTCGACCGAGGAGATCGGCCCATCAAGACTCGACTGTACGAGCACGTATGTAGCCGTGACCCCGCCCGAGTGTCTCACTCTTCGTTGTTCATTCGGATTGTGCCTATGCTAATGCGCGCTCAGCGACTCCCCTCTTCCGTTCGTTTGGGGTGATACGAGTATGACCTTACGATTCGATACGATGCGATGTTTAGTGATGCGTGTTTTGCCACCCGCGGTGATTTCACTTGTATTTTTTTCCATTCGCTCCTTGCACCTCGTTTTGCAGTCCATCTCAAGGGCTATGCTGATTTTTATCCAGGGCATTCGTAATTTTTTCTCGTTTTTTTTTTCGATTGCGGAAGAGAAGAAAAAGTGGTCACACCACCACACCCGTGTTACCAGTGTGGTGTCGGTTATGCCGTCTGTTGAGCTGGCTGGCTGTAGTCTCAGCTCCGCCCCCACACCAAGGCCGCCCCCCACACCAGTGTGACTGCCGACTGGTGTGGGATGACGTTCGCCGTGCCATCTGTTGGCTCCAATGTAAACCCCAGTTGTGCCCCGCCATCTGTT